ATGTATGTTTGAATCTTAGGATGCTTTCATTCGTTTCAAACTTTGTGGCCATTACTCACCTATCCAGGAATGAAGAATACTATAAAATATATACCCCTTCCTTAACTTGCTTCATCAAACCATATACTGCATATATGTTCTCCAAAATGTTAATAAATAAACAGGAAGAAAACAATAATATACTCCATGGATGGCAGTAACCTGGAGGACAGCAAGGTATTATTCAATTCAATTAAAATACGAAAAGCTCGATCGCTCGCAGAGTCGCAGTCGCAGCCTTCCAAGAATTCCTCTGCTTCTGCTGTTGGCCAGCAGCACCCAGCAGCTATCTATCTATCTATATATATAAACCCGGCGACGGCGACGGCGGCGGCAAGGCGTACTACTACGCCATTGCGGCCTCCTGCCTCCTCGTCCACCAAAGGTCGCGGCGCGCGCGGGGCAGCTAGCAGCTGCCTGCCTGCTTCTTCTGCTTCTTCTTCTTCCACGCCGGTGTGCCGCCCGGCCATCCACAGCGCGCCATGACGTGGTGGCCGTGGCCGTGGTCGTGGCAAGCGACCGCGCTCGCCGCCGCGGCGTGGCTGTGCCTCCACCTAGCCGTGGCGAGGCTCATGGAGGCGCTGTGGTGGCGGCCGCGCCGGCTGGAGCGCCACTTCGCGCACCACGGCGTGCGCGGGCCGGGCTACCGCTTCTTCTTCGGCAGCTCCATCGAGCTCATCCGCCTCATGGTGGACGCCTCCTCCCGCCCCGCGCCGCCCCAAGCGCCGCACGACGTCCTCCCCAGGGTGCTCGCCTTCTACCACCATTGGAGGAAGCTCTACGGTACGGTAATTTCCATGCATCTTCATCAATCAATGCAGCTCTTTGCTTACGAACTGAGATTGATCGTCTCTCGATCAAATTTGGATCATTCCTAACTAGCTACTGCCTTGCCACTTTTCTTCGAAACCTTTTTATTTTCTTTGCGCGTATACATATACAAATATATATATAATAAATTAAAAGAATGGACGCTCACGCGTAAACCGCAGGAAAGGAGGGGACATGCTTCCATGCTTTTGCAAATAGAAACAAGAGCACAAACTCTAAACTATGCTCGATTAGGTGACCTTCATTTCATTTCAATTTCACTTTGGTACTACTGTATCCTACCTATATTCCTATATATCCTACCACCACTACTTGCCTCCATCACTTTTGGTACTAGTGATGACAGCAAGCTATAGCTAACAAATTCGTCTGCAAATTAAAAACCGCCTCCCAAAGTCAAACCTTGGCTGTGTGTGTATGTTGTCAGCAAGTATATGATCCATCCATCTCTCCACCAGGCTGTCAATGCATGCAGCAGGTCAATGATAATAATGCGAGTAGATTAACAACGGCCCGGTAATCTTAAGAGATTAGCTACATATGAGCCGGATGTGTGTGTGTGTGTGTGTGTGAGAGAGAGAGAGAGAGAGAGAGAGAGCCGGTAATCTTAAGAGATTAGCTATACACACACACACACACACACACACACACACACACATACATATGTAGATCCATCCGTCCGGCAATCCAGAGGTAGAGCACATGCATGCCTTCATGCTTGCTTGCTTTGTGCTTCGTTCAGCTGCTCTCTCTGCATATGGTCACAACATGCATATATATGACATTGCCAGATATACAGCATGCATTTCAGTTGAGGATCCAAACCAGTTGCATGCAGTTGGTTACTCGCTGTTGAGGCGATTAGTTTATGCTAACCTTTGCGGCGATCGATGATAATTCCCGCTGTTTTTCAACGGTATGTGGAGTATAGTATGGAAAGGACAACCCTAGCTAGCTATAGAGGCAAGCATCTGCGTTTGATCCAAGTGATGGACAACGAATCTTGTTTGTTGGTCAGTTAATGAATTTGTGTGATTTGTCCACATGAAAACACTCAAGTTAAGTGCTGGCTTAGCTTCGCTCCACGGCAACCCGGCCAGTAGAGCTAGAGATCATTGCACTTGCCTTGCCATGCATGGTATCACATGCGTTAATGCCGCCTGCTTGATTCGACCTTGCATGATGATTAATTTCATATGTCAACTTGCATGGTTTGATCAAAACTTGAGATATGTGCCAACAATTTGAGCGAAGTGTGTGCTTGATTTTGTCAAAAATATTACTAGACGACGCTTATTATTTATATACATTCATACAGTACACATGATGAAAAAATAGCATATCGTACTCGTAAAACGTTTTTTCAAAAAAAAGAATAATTGATTAGAGTTATATAGGAGGGTACTGAATAATTATTTAGTACCCATATAGTAATACTATATATATATATATATATATATATATATATATATATATAATAATTATTTAGTACCCAGATACGATATAGTAATACTATATATATATATATATATTGGCGCGCATGCATGCAAATTAATTTATGCAAATGTATATATGCGTGCAGGTCCGATGCATCTGATTTGGTTCGGGAGGACGCCGCGTCTGGTCGTGAGCTCGCCGGAGCTGATCCGGGAGGTGCTGCTGTCGCGATCGGAGCATTTCGACCGGTACGAGGCGCACCCGCTGATCCGCCAGTTCGAGGGCCTCGGCCTCAGCAACCTCCACGGCGACGAGTGGGCGCGCCGCCGCAAGATTCTTACGCCCGCCTTCAACGCCGAGAACCTCAAGCTGCTCGCGCCCTTCGTCGCCGACACGGTGCAGCGGATGCTGGAGGAGCGCGTGCTGCTACCGTCGGCGGCGGCGGCGGGCGGGTCCGGCGAGGTGGAGGTGGACGTGGCAGAGTGGTACCAGCGGCTGCCGAAGGAGGCCATCACCGTCGCCACGTTCGGCCGCAACAGCGACGAGGGCAGCGCCGTGTTCCGGATGCAGGCCGAGCATGCCAGCTACGCCACCGAGGCGCACAGCAAGGTCTTCATCCCGGGCTACAGGTTCCTGCCCACAAGGAGGAACAGGCGCGTGTGGCAGCTCGGCAGGGAGATCAGGAGCCTCCTGGCCAAGCTCGTCGCCGGCCTGCAGAGCGGCGGCGAGGACCACCGACACCGGGGCCGGGACCACGGGCGCGCCGGCGGCATGAGGGACTTCATGAGCTTCATGGCCCCGGCCATGACGGCGGACGAGATCATCGAGGAGTCCAAGAATTTCTTCTTCGCCGGGCTGGAGACGCTGACCAGCCTCCTCACCTGGGCCACCGTCGCGCTCGCCATGCATCCGGAGTGGCAGGACCGCGCTCGCCGGGAGGTCCTCGAAGTCTGCGGCCGCCGGGGCGTCCCCACCAAGGACCACCTCCCCAGGCTCAGGACGCTCGGGATGGTCGTGAACGAGACGCTCAGGCTCTACCCGCCGGCGGTGGCCACGATCCGGAAGGCGAAGCGGGACGTGGAGCTCGGCGGCTGCGTCGTGCCGGCGGGCACGGAGGTCATGATTCCCATCATGGCCGTGCACCACGACGCCGACGTGTGGGGCGCTGACGCCACGGAGTTCAACCCCGCGCGCTTCGCCGACGACGGCGGCGACCGCCGGCCGCGGCAGCAGATGGCGTTCATGCCGTTCGGCGGCGGCGTGCGGGTGTGCATCGGCCAGTACCTGGCGCTCATGGAGGCCAAGATCGCCTTGGCCATGGTGCTGCAGCGCTGCCAGTTCCGGCTGTCGCCGTCGTACGTGCACGCGCCGAGGGTGCTCATGATACTCAACCCGCAGCACGGCGCGCCGGTCATCTTCCGGCCGTTGTGACACGTCATTCCAGCCAGACATCTCGCAGCTCCGCTCAGAAATCCAAATCGATCGGATTCAATTCCTTCCTTCCTTCCTGTAAATTATCATCCCCCATTACCAATTGCAAATATATAAAGTATACCATACGACAGGTATCAGATATAGAAAGGATAGACAAAAGTTTCTAGATGTTATTTTTCACTCGTATTCGTTCGTATACGTATTTGGCCTTGAGAATTTGAGCTGTATAGTGTGTCCTGTGCCCTGAATCTCACGCAAAAGTTGTCAAGAATTTGCAAATGTTAGGCATCAAAATTCAAAATATACTACATGACAAGTGAACCCAATTCACTTATGGACAGCTGAACGCCGGAAGCGCCACGGACTGCAACAGGAGGCGCCGTTCGTTTTGTGCGACCAGCATGATGAGACCACGAACCACCTCCTGTGCTCGTGCGTCTACCACCCGGGAGGTCTGGTTCCGCCTGCTACAGCCGGTCGCCTATCATGGCCTCGCGCCGCAGGATGCCTCAACGACCCTGCTCGATTGGTGGCAGCGCGGGCGTTTGTATCTGCCACGGAACCGGAGGAGCTTCGACTCTAGTCAACTAGTCAAGGACACCGACACAGCTGATCGCCATGATCCTGGATGAAGCGGATGCTTGGATCGGCGCCGGGGACGGGAGTCTGGCGTCGATCACCGCTCAGGTTATTTGACCTACGCGGCCAACTCCTAGACGCAACGTCGCGCCAATCGTTCCTTAGTTAGTACAACCGTTATTCTCCATCGCCTGACGGTGATCTGTGTCCAGTGTGCGCCCCTGGTCCCAAACGGCATCTCGCCGTGACGAAGGCTACGGAGCTTGTAATGTTTCCCAATTCCACTCAACGAAGCACGAGCTATAATGCTTTCGAAAAAAAAGTGAACCCAATTCAAATGCCAGACACTCTCACCACAATTCTTAATGGTATCAACACCACAACATAATGCAGATTATTCCTGTTGCGAATTTTGCTACAGTGTATCAGCATCGCAACAACAAATTTTCTGATAGGAATGCTAAGTGTTCTCACGGAGAATGCAATTTGTAGCCAAACTTTTTCCATATATATGAAAGACAAGCAATTTGTAGCCAAACTTTCTCCATATATATGAAAGACAAGCTCTATACAAGGCAGAATATTTACACAGGAGGAATCTCTTCAAAATATTGAGGGGAGAAAGGGGTTGACTTTTCCTCGACATCAACATCAAGGATACGTTTGAATTTCCCGAGGGTTTATACTGACAACCGCACAAGCTTCTCGATCTCTTTGATAATTAGATCTCTCTCCTCATCAAGTTGTTCATCTTCACCTGCCAAATGGGGCACATTATTAGCGCTCCAATGTGCATCTCTCATAAATCTTAACATCGAGTTCCAGTTATGATATTTGGTTACTCTATTACTAGCATCACAATTGCTTGGTCACAGAATAGGGCTAGGGTTAAGTTGGAAATCGCAATACATTACCTTTGCTTGTGGGGAGATTGTGGAGTAGCTTCAACAGTTCTCTGTGATTGTCAACCAAAACCTGAATAATCTCACGAGGCTTGTTTGGATTGGCAACAAATACCTGCATCCATGTAGTGAAAATGAACCTCCAAAAAATGGTAACAGTAGTGTTCACATTAAGTTATGATTAATTAAAAACAACAGCTAATCCAACTTAAAATTTCAAAACCCGAGCAAGGCCCGATCGAGTGTGAAGCCACCAAAAGGGTAAACGTATGAAACTTTCAAGTGTGCAACTTATTACCTTAAAAATGTGGAAGGAACATATCCTGATATTTTTGCTTGAATCCTACAAAAGACACCAGTTAGTACTTAGTAGAGGCATTAAAAAAAGGATGTGTATAGGCATGAAAAGATGGCACTAGTTATGAAGATGAAAACAAACTATCTATGACTAGTCTATGTTGTTTTCATCACTTAGTTGTCATAAAAGGAGAAAATCTGTAGCACTGGCTTCTTGCAAGTGTGTATATTTGAACTACTTTTGTATTAGATAGAAACTAAGAAAACTGCTCGAATACACTGTTAGACACAAGATGACTGGTACCCAAGCAGTACATAAATAGCTCAGAGGAATAAAATGATAGTGTTCAACATGAATAATGGTGCTATGCATTTTAACTATAAACAGAAAGCCATTTAGATCTGGATGGCTGGATCTCTGGTAGTCACTAAAGAACAATTGCAAGAGTATAGTTGTGTACGTATATCTTAGCCTCTCAGGATGACCTTTGCTTGGCAAGATATCCAAAAGCCAGTAAAAGAAAGCAGGATCTCTCATGTATTGTGCTAATAACAACCACCATTATTTTCACTAGATAATGGCACTAGAATGTCATAACTACTTGTATGAAAAATCAAGAAACAGAGGAAGTGAGAAGGGTGATCAATATCATTGCTGATTCATTTAAATATAAGCAGGGAACTTATAACTAATACTCTAATACCTTCAGAAGACCCATCATAATGTTTAAGTAACGAACTTCCAAAATGTAACGCTTCATTATTTGAGCATTTGGGGTCTCCAACAGAAACTCTGAAAGAAACTGGCATGCCGCAAAGTGCTTTTAAGCATCATATTTTTGTACCCTACAAGAAATTGCAATTTAAATAGTCTAACCTTCACTGATTGTCTTCGTGTCACATAATTAGTTGAAGATAAAAGTTTTGTGTAGAGTCCAAAAAACTGCACATGTTTACAATGGATGAGTGCTTCAAAACTTTAGCAATACAAAAGGCAAAAGGTGGCATGGAGGAAGATACAAAGTACAAGGAACAAGGTAGAGGAAAACTACTGGTCCTCTTATTTATTTGGAATAAACATTAAAATTATGGATTTCATTCATTCTACAGAAAGGTATCATTTGGCTGACCTGTTCATAATGTGAGCTCAGAAATTCAGAGACTTGATCTTCATGTTTGTTTAGCAAATCCTGCAAATATCTTGCCAACAGCAAACATCAATCCTGAAGAAGCAAACATAAAGCCATTTTTTATTTAAAAAAAAAAACAAATTGACAAGATTAGATTTACCTTGAAGGTGTTCAGAGCGTCAGAAGCAATATCGAAGTTTGGCAATTCAACATACTGGAAAAACAACTCGAAGCTACTTGACTCCAATATATATCTGAAAGAGCACTACAAAATCAAATGTATGAAAAATTAATCATTAGCAAAATTAACTAAATCATCTATTTGTTGTTTGCTTTAGTTTTATTGCAAAATCTAACATCTGCATACTGCAGAGTACATTTGCATGTCTGCTTGTTTTGGTCATTATATTATGTACTATATCTGTCCATGCATGCAACTACAGAAGGCCAGAGGCTCTAAAAGAACAGACATGTCAGGTGAAGGCATATATGCTGGAAACTGTATGCTATTGCAGAGCCACTAAGAAAAGAAAATATAGTTGAACAAATATTCCAAGCCTTACTTTGCAAGTGTAGGATATTTTATGCATTCTCGCAACATGTTCCCACAATTCAACGCAACTTCCAAGTTCTTGTAGCTGGTAGAACATAGTTAAATCAATCAAGCACAAGAGTATTACAATGGCATATACTACAGGAGCAGTACATAAAACACACAAAATAATGCAAGTACAAGTTGTAAAATTATCGCATATATCACAGGTGCATTTCATAAACAAACACCAAAAAAAAATACAACTATGCAAGTATATATAAGCAGTAAAAATAAATAGGTACATGAAGCAATCAAACATCAATATATTTCTGCAATTGCATTCCCACCAAAAAAACGAATCAGCATGCTCCAACTCGTTGTGTTCCATTCTAATTCATAACTTGAGAAATAGGCCTTACCAAACAACAAGGAAATCCAAAAGATCAAAATGATTTTCAATATACTGGACACAACAATGGCCTTCATCAACCTTCTGTCTCAACAAAATACACCAGCAGTGGACAAGATCCTTTCTAGCCTGCAACATAGAACCAATAAGGCTAATAACACAGTGAAAAAGGTTATCACATTCAATTTGTGAATATAACATACCTCCCAACCCAAGGAAGGAAGATTCTGAACAAAGAGGGAAAGAACACCCTCCTTGCAAATCTCAAGGGCTATCTGCAGAACCTGCTCTTGATTTGGTTCTACTTCTCCATCACCAGCAAGTGTATGCCTCAATGTAAGTAAGTTTTTCTCAGCATCCTCGAGAGCCTAACAGGAGCATACACAAATTCATGAGCAACATGATTTTTGTACCATGGTGTTCACTGTTCAGTGCACAAGAATTCTATACGGGGGCAACACATCAATCAGAGAACAACCAAAACTGTAAATTAAATAAGTAAACATGTGCTCGCTTAAAGCAGGGTCAACATACATCTCCGTTTCTATGAGAACAGTGTTAAAAAGAACATGAACAGAAGTACAGATTTATAGTTGATCTGGCTCTTGTAGTTGTTGTATGTCAAAACTCAATACTATGTTGCAAACAGATCCCAACTGCTAACTTATACATTTGATGAACAAGACAAATTGTCCTCTCACTGTCATGATTACTAACTTGATCACTACATCAAACAAATGAGTGAAATCTACTCAATCAATGTACACTTGTATACTTCTCGCAAAAGGGTATGTTTGTATACCTATAGAACAAATCTCCATGACACAACAGGTAGAAACAAACTTTCAGATCCGGTTAATTTTTTCGATTTAATTCACCTCATCAACATAAATGCCTTTACCGCCACTAACATGGCGGCAAAAATGTGCAATCCAGTGACAATTGCAACCTCACAGGCCCCATTATGATCCACTAGTCAGTGGTTTTCTTAAGCTTTGAATGACAGGCTAAAGAGACAGACGAACCACTCAAAACCATCCCTGACAATTAACAAATTATCAGGCATTTCCCCGACCAATACCAGCACAGTCTCTACTTCTAATTGCCAAGCAACATTCGTCAACTACCAGAGAACTGGAGTACTGTCAGTCTGTCACCGACATCAGGGAGTCTACCAAAAAAAAAAACGCGATGGATCCAGGGACTCCGCACAAGTCCACAAACAAAGCAACTTAACCTCGTTGACAGCACCCAAAATGACCCGATTGGGGGTGGACGAGACGCTAGCGGCGAGCCTGCACGGGCGGATCGGGCCCGGGCGGGCCACGGAGCGGATGGGAATGCGGGAGCAAGATGCTGGAGGGCCGCGCGTATACCTTGGCGCCGGTCTTGGTGTCGAGGGCAACGAGGGAGTCCTTGATGGAGCGGGCGATCTCCTGCGGCGACGGGCGCTGCCGCGTCGCGGCCCGGAAGAAGAAGGACATCTCGCCGCTGGCCGGCGGAAATCCAGATGGAATCGGGGGGCGAGCTCTTCTCAGTCTCAGTCTCGTCGGCTCGTAGCCTGACGAAGACGACTTGGGGTTCCCGTCTCTAATCGGTGGTCGCGTAAACTTCGTGGTATCTGTTTGTTCACTCCTGTTGAAGGCGTACGCTAAACTAGAGACACCTTACTTTTTTGTAAAAGGAAAATGGAGTGAAATGTACTACGGTTGTTTTTGTCCATAGTAGACTCTAAAAACGAAAATGTAGGTACTTCAAATTTCTAACCATTTGTAAATAAATAAAGTGGTTTATTTTAGGTCCAATTATGAATTTAGATTCTCACATGGAGTGAACCACCTGGGACTTAAATCCTCGCTCCGAGAGTTTATGGGCAAGACAAGAATCTTGAATAAGTTTAGAGCCCATATGGAACACAGTTGCTTCATAAAAATCGTAATGAATTAATTCAATTTTATAGAGAAAATATAGGGTTCATAAACAAATACCCATGTTGTACATGAAGCGATTCAATTTTATATGAAAATGGAATAAAAAATTATAGGAAAAATATAGGGTTCAAAGATATATAATTGTGTTTCAAACAAGGTTTTAAGAACTCACAATGTGTTTCACTATTTTTTCCCATGTGACCAAGAGCAACATTTTACAACAACACGGACAATATCATTACTATGGATTAAATACAAAAGAAAACACCAACTGGAGACCAAGTATGTACATAAATTTCATTGTGGTTGTTTTTTATCATTGTTTTCTCATGTTGCCGGAGTAGATTATTGTTGGAAGAGTTTTGTTAGTTAGTCGTTGTTACTATTGTTTTCTATCATAAACCCCTTTTGGGGTTGTATTTTGTCCACTCTAAACCTTTTTATTAATATAATCAGTACTCCATACGTCCCCAAAAGAATGCAATTCTTGAACAGTGTCCTATTTTAGTATATTAAGTTTGACCAATTATAAATAAACAAGTATAAATATTTATAATATAAAACAAATATCATTATATTAATTACGAAATGCATTTTCATAATAAATTAATTTAGAGTCATAAATGTGAATACTATTTACTAGAAACTTGGTGAAATGTGAAGTACTTTAACTAGCACGCAACCCGTAGTTTGTTTAGGGATAGAGGTAGTACATCTTATACTTAGTTTGTTTAAAAAAGCAATATATACATCAGTACTCCATATATCCTATCCAAGTAATTTTATAACCAAATAAGAAGTTTGGCAAAAGACTAATCTACCCCTCACTAGTTAGTTAGTTTAATTGTTAACTTGCTTGATTTTCTAGTAAGCTATAACTTAAAAATGCATGTAATTGTTTTGGGCTACAATTACCTGAAAATTAGACAAAATTATCCCTTTAATTAGCTGGTTTTGCTTCTCTATATATATGTTATAGAAACAATAAAATAGTTTAATATCTAAAAAAACACAACTAAATCATTAATCAGAAAAAATTCAGAACTAATTCAAATTTCTTCTAAAAATAAGAGTTTTGGACATTTCATAGTTTTTCTATTTTAAAATGAATTAGGTATGAATTTTTGGAGTTTAAACAATATTTTTATTGTTTTTGGAAAAGATATATAGAGGTAAAATTAATTAATCCAATATACGAAACTAGCTAAAAATGCTAAATTTGTTTGGTTTCTGTAGTCCGTTCACCGTTGGTCAACGAGATATTTGGTTTATGATGAGTCCGATGACCAAAATTATACCTTGGTATAATAGTTTGTGGTAAAAAAATTGACTTCTCCCTATGACAAATGAATGAACGAAGGGCAACATGGCTCTTGATTTTGCCTCTGTGTTTTCTGTGTGTGTGTGTTCAGTAGTACAATACTTTGATTTTGTTAGTGTCATACACTGTGTATCCCTTCGACTGCACACCACCCCTAATCGATCTCTTTACAAATTAACAACACACCACCAGCCCGCCTGATGACCCCATGATGATGACCTATACAAACACGACGACGAAGGATCGATCGGATCGACGAACCCAATCAAAACGAGAGGAAGAGCGAGAGGTCTCGATCGAGACATGCACGACGACCATTATTCCCTCCGGCCGGCCTACACGTACGATTGATCATTCACGCATGCATCGAATCGATCTTCCTCCAACTCACCCCTCTCTTCGATCTCCTCTCATCAGTAATATACAATCCTTCGTCGTCGTTGAGCTCTCATCTTGATCGGAGTAGTTCTCGTCTGAATGATGCCCTATCTGCTCGCTGCTGTGTGCACGCACACGGCACACACCTCTTGGATTGGACCGTCATCTCTCCCTCCTCGCCGTCGGCCGTCGTCGTCCCCACGGTTCGATCGTTGACCCATGGTGCATTCCGGTATAGCTTAGCACGGACTGATCACACTACTACTCCTCCAGCGCGGTGGCCGCGGCCTTGTAGAGGTCGTAGGGCGCCCAGAGGTAGTCGACGGTGCAGGGCTTCCGTGCGTCGAGCCGGAGCCAGGGCTTGCCCTTGCCGCTCCAGTGCAGCAGGCTGATGGGGCCCGGGTGCAGGCTCCGGCACCTGCCCTCCACGTTGTCGCCGCCGAGCCCGTGCTGGTTCCAGCGGTGGTCGACGGGCCTGATGTCCCCGGCGAGCACCAGCAGGAACGGCGGCAGCGACCCCAGGTGGTAGATCCGCTTCCGCTTCTGCACCGCCATCCACTCCTCCACCCGCCGGGTGTACCCGCCGCGGCGCCACCGCGCCACGTCCATGACCATCACGCCCGTGTTGAAGTAGCAGGGGCGGCGGCCCCGGAACGCGGCGCTCAGGTCCCCGTCCGACCAGAAGGCGTCGGTGAAGTACTTGGTGAAGTTGGCGTGGCAGTACTCGGGCGCCGCCACCACGTGGCGCGCGCCCAGGTCCACGGACCAGAGCTTGCGCACGTCGTCCACCACCACCACGTCGGAGTCGAGGTAGATGACCCGTCGCACGTCGGCGGGGAGCGTGTCGGCCAGGTAGATGCGCGCGTAGTTGAGCGGCTGGTCCAGCGCGTGGCGCACGGAGCGGGAGATGCGGCCGCGCACACGGGACGGGTCGAACCGGTGCACGCTCGGGTCAAGGTACGGGAACGTGGCGCGGATCGCCGCCAGCGAGTCCGGGTCGCCGTCGGTGGCGGGCGCGGCGGCGGCCAGGAAGTGAAACGCCACGTTCTCCGGGCACGCCGTGTGCTGCAGGATGGAGAAGACGGCCGCCATGGTGCCGCGCAGGTAGTTGGCGTCCAGCGTCATGGCGACGTCGACGCGGCCGTCGGGGGAGCCACGGGGCGGGCACTCGTCCCCGTTGCGGAACGCGGGCGCCTCGCGGAACGCCGGGGACGACGGCGGCGCGGACGACGATTGGAGGCGGATCACGTCCACCCGGATGCCCGACGCGGCGGGGGCCACATGCAGGAGCAGCGCCAGGACCAGGAGGGGGCCATCCTGCAGGCCCTCGCCATGGTGACCGCGCGCACTGGACCGGACCAACCCGACCGGGGGTGGTGGCAGACGTGGGAAGGGCGCCACGCCACCACCGCGCGCCGGAGGTGTTTGTGGGTGGCGGGGGAGGGGAGGATAAAGTTGGCAGGGGAGGGGGCGGGCGGGACGCGCGCGCGGAGGGACGGACGGACGGCGACGACGCCCTGCTAGCTGTGCGAGCCGCGCCTATGCTATACTTAGACGACGATGATCCATATCATCAGTAGGTGACGGCCCATGCGCCAACGACTAACAATCATCAATCCCTGCGCTGCCAATCATCATCCATCTCCACATGCCTGCCTGCTTCTTGCTTGCAGCTAGCCTGCTTATCTATATCTATCTATCTATCTGCTCGATCAGCCGCCGTGGGCTGCAAATGGACTGGGTCCTGTCTTCGCTGCGGCTGCTGCTGCCGGCGGCGTCCTGATTGGAGAGGAGAGGAGCCGCCGTGCCGTGGCCCGTGACAACAATGCTGGAGCTGGAGGGTGGCCGGATCGGTTTATATTTATACATGGGACGACGTGAGGCAGAGCGGAGGAGGAAGTGATGGGGATGGGAGGAGGAGGAAGACGGAGGACGGACGGACGTGTCGGCGAGCAGTCCAGCTTGCCGCTGCGCGTCCAATGCAAGGTCAAGGCCCGGGACAGGGGCTCCAGCTCCACCACCACGTACATGCATGTCTCAACCAAACCAACCTCTGAATTCTGTTGAGCCAGCTGCTCGTGACATGCGTGCGTGCATGTGCTGTTAGTTGCATTGCATTCCATGCGCTGCTGCCATTCCTCTCAATCAGCGGTTGTTGGAGGGTCGCCTCCTGGGGTTATTCTATCGTTTAGCCGTCATCATGATATATGGCCGGTTTCATCAGAGACAATTCAGAGGATCACGGGAGATGCTTATTTAGAGAGCTGAATGTGTATTTATTTAACTATTAGTATATATAGGCGCACGCGGCTGCAATACACCAACTGATGACCGCCTTGCTAGCTATACTAGAGCTGTTTGTTAACTCGCTGGTCGATCGCCCTGTACACCAAGTCACCGACCCATCTTAATCTTAATATACTATGGTTAGCCTTAGTGCATTACTAATTAGATGTCTCTAACAGAGCCTTCGTGTTTATTTTTACGAGACATGCTGATAAAAAAGATCAATCCTATAGATTCTCACAATAACAAATGGCATTTGTTCTTTAACTTGGTAGAGAATTCAATCACCATGAACAATAGCCACTACGAAAATGCATAAAGTAACCCTGCCGTTACAAAAAAAAATGAAATAACCCTCTAAATCTGCATGTAAATCACCCACATCTATCATTACAAAAGATTATTTGTAATAATCTCTAAATTTTTATTTAAATTACCCACCGCTACCATTATTATTAATGATATATATAAGAATTTTCTAACATTGATTTGCTATGTAGAGGAATTTTATTTGTAGTAGTACTGTTTTATAAAAAAACATAGAGTGCTTACACTAAATTAACAGTATTGATATGTCATAGCGCTTTAGTCAAAATATATAAACTCATCTAAAATAACAACTTAAAAATCTGTTGCCACAAAGCATTTTCAATATATAGTCTAGAGCTTTGTTACTGTGCTTGGGAGGTTCCTCCCTAAAAAAATATTGCCAGCAGTTAATTGTCCTTAAGGTTACTTTAGTACTTTTAGCTAGTCATTAACTCTAATTCACGTTCCATTTTCTTTAGCGCATGAAAGTCACGATCTCAAGACCACGCCGCCACCGCCGTCCGCGTCGCCGGCGCTCGCCTCCCTGAGTCGTCGTTGCTCCCGCCTGCTGTTCGACTTTAAACCTGCCATGGACATGCCGGCCGCCGCAAGGTGAACCTGAGGGCTCGGTACTTTTGCCTATCAAAGCCAAAGCGCATGGAGTGGTGGGGCTACTGGGAGGAGGCCGCCGATGTGATGGGGATCACCGTGGATGGCGGCATGGCGCAGCGCGGGCTGTGACTGACAAAATGAACCACCTGCACCCAACCATCCTGGAGAGGCAGCGAGCTCATGGTGCAAGGCAGATTACGGTCAATCCCAACTCAGCAAATCGAGGTTCTTGGGGTTGTGTCTGGCAAGGCATTTGACGGTATCACCTCCTCGTAGTTCCACATGAGCCCGTGGCGATGAAGTCATACGCGTCCAGCAGCACGGCCCGGTGCCCAAGCCACGGCGGAAAGTCATGTACGCACGCCGGCGACACTGACGGTAATGAAGATGGAGAATCCCAATTACTATTATGTCCTTCCTATTAAATTAGAAACAGGTTCCGGGCTCACTTATTTTAGGTTCCGGTCAGCCACTTAGGTTCCGGTCCGTCTAATTAGTTCTTCCTATTTAAAAATCATTAGATCTTGCTAGATGAAGGGCTCTTATTATTTCCAAGCACCATAAAATTTCACTATAGTTTAAGGTGAACTGTCTATGTCATACTATTTATCCTAATGGTAGCACATACTATTTATGTTTATTTTTAGTTAAGAGGAATAGAAATATGCAATTTAGAATCACTTGCCCATGTGTTGGAACAGAACCTAATACGTATAGGAATCAGACTACGTATCATCGCTAGATGCAAGTTGTCCTGACTTGTATGAGCACGGGTCATAAGTCTTGGTCATAAAAGAGATACGTAGGGCGCGATCCCCGACCCAATATGTATTAGAATCGGACTCCGTATTCATCATCACTAAACGCGAGTTGCCCTAACTCGTATAACTATGGGTCATGAGTTCAATCACATTTGAGACACGGAGGACGTGAGTGCAATCTGGAGTAAAAACGGGATGGAAGAAACTCTCCATTGCCCAAATAGTTAGGGGGAGGTGGATCAAAAAATTGGTGGAGAAAAGTTTTGCCTTTTTAATACTAGATATAGATAGATATTGATATACTCTCTCTCTCTCTGAATAAATAGATTCTCAGAGTTGTCTTAAGTCAAACTTTTTAATCTTTGACTAAAATTTCTAGAAAACCCTGTTAAAATTTATGACATCAAATTGGTATCATTAGATATACCATAAAATATATTTTCATAATATGCTCATTTTATATCATAGATGTTGTTACTCTTTTCTATAAAATTAATTAAACTTAAGATAGTTTGACTTGCACAGATTCAATGAGCTGATTAATTTGGGGACTGAGGGGGTAGATATAAATAAGTAGCGTACTTTTTAGTTATTTAATTTTTAAGATTTATAGATTTGAGAGACATTTTATTTTGTTTGTTATTGAAGACTTTTAATGATAGTAAGATTAAGATGGCAGCCGATGACATGTCACATGTCTTAGACGATGGCCAGGCGTCTACGACAACTTAATCGAGTTCAAGATAATAAGATGTGCTAGTCCAATTTCTCCGAGTTGTCTATAGTGCTCTGAGTATGCGTGCATCAATGCATATACGTGACTTTCCACGCTTGCTTTTAAACAAAAAGCACATACTGCGACGTGACTGCCGAGGATACCTTGGTTTTGGTAAAAAGAATTATTGGCGTGGATCACTAGTGTACTACTGTATCAAACCTAGAGAAGTGCTCGACCGCCGTGTGCATCAATATTTTTACCACGTGAGACGAGAGAAAAAAAAACCGTTGATTGAAAGTCAATGCGTGTGTCACAAGCGTAGCTACCCGCTGCCAACCAACAATAGCCCTTCTTGCTACTGTTGTATAACTTGGAGCTTGTTTGATTCTCTAGTCTAAAGTTTAGTAATTAAAATTGAAGACTAAAATTGTAGACCACACTTTAGCTCACTTGTATGGTTAATGTTTCTGTGAGATGTTTTAAACTTTAGATCTCCTGCTTGAAGTCTCAAGAGTTATAATGTTCTAAAGTTTAATGGCTAAATTATAGATTATAGGATCCAAACAGAACCTTACAAAGCTACTTATGACTAAAATAGGTTTAACAATTAGGGTGGTTTAGGCGGTTTTTTCTTTTGAGCGTGTTTATTTCCATTGCCCAATTTTACTAAAAAGTAAATCAGACATGCTTATTCTGACCATGTTTTTACTCCATTTATACAACTTCTCGAGAAAAGGCTTCTCACGGAAGCTCTTCTAAATGAGGCCAATGGCATCCAACCAACACACAATGTGGTAGGATTGCTTCACTTGTGGTTAAGAAAAGAAATGACGGAAAGTGACCGTAGCTTAGCTAATTAGATTCCTTGTGATGGGACTTGCCTATCCGAATTTAAGCTCTCAACTTGATGAGCCTGTTCGTTGGTTGGTTTCTGGGTTGATAAACCCGGCTGGTGCTGGTTTGTTGTGAGAGAAAAATACTGTTGGCTGGCTGATAAGCTCTGGCTGAAACCAACAAGCGAACAGGCTGGATGTGAGTGCTCGTATTTTTGTAAAGTTATTCTGTGATTTAATGACGATATTTTTTTAGTGGTAGAGGATGTGCCGGACAATAGAGGTTTTGGTGAATTTGCATTGTCAACTTTGAGATTTACCGACTCAGTCTTTCGAATGTGCTATATGCAAACGTTCTTAGGGGTATTTTAGAGGTAGGACGTGTATGTGTATTTATAGACATGAGTGTATATGTATGTGAGCATCGTACGATGATTTGAAAAAATGAAAATGAAATGATGAGCATAGAATAATGTTTTGACAAAGAAACGAAACCTACCGTCAGAGAACCAAATCACCTGCGGTCAAGAAAGATCAACACTTTCGTTCAAAAGAAAAGGACAAAAGAACAAGTACTACGTGTGACCTTTTTTGTGTGTTTTTTGAAAGATCGAGTTTTCTTTTGTTTGGAGGACCAAGGGAACCTGAACAGCGATATTCGTTGAGATTGTGGTGCCTTCCCAGTCATGACCTAGAAGCTGTATTGTATGCAGCATCTTCCTTGGATTTCTTTAATTAGTGGTAGTCACAGAACAATCAGTGCCACTACTAACGTTGCCTCGAGGAGGAGGGAAGTAGCAGTTTGACTATTTAATCGTTGGTTCGTCTAACTGTAACCAAGCTGGACAAAGGCCCAGGCCAGCTACGTACACTGCGACTTCTTGGTTCTTGCATTCTCTCGTTCTCTATTGTTCTGCTGAACCGACCGACCAAGAGTTTCGCTCTTGTTTCTTGGAGGACGCAATGCAATGCAATGCAAATGCAAATGCGATGCGAGGCTCTCGTGGTTGTGGTTGCCATTCACGACGTCGTTTTCTCTGAACGATTCTCTCCATCTCCAGAATAATCGATTCGATGGCCTGTCCTGTCCGTTGCCTTCAATGTTTTCCTGGCGTTGGCAATTCAGAGTTTCAGACCATACATTCCCCATGAATGAATGCAGAATTACAGATGCAGAAGCAGAACAACATCATAGCATAGCATATGCGGTGGTTCCTCCAATCCAACGCTGAACACGCACGCATGCGCAACACGCGGCCTTGCATTCTGTCGGCCCAGGCTAGCTGGTCACAACTCTCACATGGTTGGAAAGCAACACGCGGCATCAGCAATTCAGCATCACTGCAGTTGACATCATGGGGCAGCGTCAGGCAACACCGCAACAGGCAACAGCCACGGGTGAACGTTTCAGCTTCAGGAGCTGCAGAACTGCAATTGCTCTGCTACAAGAGGAGCTTCATGTATGTTGCTGCGAAATACTGAAACGAACGTACGGGGCTAAGCAGTCCAAGAAACATACAGATTTCCGTACAAAATTGTGAGATGATTTATCACTTTGCCCGATAGAGCTTATCGAATTGTGCTGGACGATCAGCTAACTGAAAGCAGCCTTTGAAGACAAAACTAGGCGACCTTTTCTTGTCAGCCCAGTTGGATGTCACTACAGTACATTAGAAAGAAAATTTAATGACTACAACGCCACAAGCACAACTTATTATGGCTGCATGTCATTGAGGTCAACCGTCGAGGACAAGGGGTGGTCGATATAAGGATACGTCATTGAGGCCAGGCTAGGGATTACATCATGTTCGATTTAGAGATAACGGAAAAGCTGCAAAGATGGACTCCACCATATCTCAGCTACTCGTTCTCTATGTTAATTCTTATCCACTCGTCTCTCAGCCTTCCGCCAACACCGTCTCCTGCTCTATCTCTTCTTCATACTCGCATCCGCTTGCCCAACTCCATCCCACCACGCCCCCTTCCCCCACCCCGCCCCGTCTCTCGCCACGTCGTGCGCTTCCCCCACCGCGCCGCGCCCCCACTCCATCTCACTGGTCGCGGCCGTGGCGTCACTAGGCCACCACCAACCCGACGCTACCAGTAGGAGGTCGTCGCCAGCTTGGACATCGTCTCCTGCGGCTAGCCAAAGACACCACGGCAGGGAGGGAGGTCCAGCAGCGGAGGTGTACGCTAGGCCGTTGTTCTTGACGTCCTCCTAATCCGAGCTTGCTAGCCACTGCAGTTCCCCACCAGGTAGGCCATGGGTGCCAGCGATGCTGTGTTTAAGTGTTTAAGGCGTTTTTAGACATGTTGCAAGCCTATGTTTCAAGTATTTCAGTTGTTTCAGATGTATGTTTCAAGTGTGTTGATATGAATGTTGCAAAAGTAGATCGGGATGTTGCATATGTTGCAGTGGTTGCACACTTATGTTACAAGCGTCTGTTCCCAATGTTTCATCTATTTTCAAACGTATGTTGCAAGTGTGTTTATCTGGATGTTACATATGTTTCACACATATGTTGCAAGCGTTTTATCTGTATGTTGCATATGTTTGCAATGATTTTTAAGTGTTTTCAAATGTTTTTACAAGTGTTTTAGATTTTCGTTGCAAGTGTTTCAATTGTTTCTGATATATGTTACATGTGTTTCATCAAGATGTTGCACATGTTGTGAGCAGGCAAGGGAAGCGGGCTCAGGCGGAGGTGGGCCTCAGGCCGCAGGTGGTCCCCACGTACGCACGGGAAGCGAGGCGGGCGAGGGTGGTCCCCACGGAGCGGCGCGGGCGAGCAGGCGAGCGGGTAGGCAGGTGAGCAGCACAGTAGGACAGCAGCCGCGGGCGTCCATCCGGACGTCCGGGCGCTAGCAGTTCCCTAGAGATAAAGAAATTTTTTCTTTCCCAGATTACACCCCTTTAGATTCTTAAAATTTTCAAGTGGTCCATTCTAAGTTTACTTTAGATCCAATAATGGATCCCGAGGAGAATATTGAAAAAGTTTATACACCCATGATGCATTTCACTTTTTTGTAAATTTGTTCACTACTTTGTTTTACTTTGTTATAAAAACCTCCCATTTTCAGTAAGTGAATGGGCTATCTACCTGCTTTATAGACTGTGATGGCTCGCACGATACGTCTTTATTATGTATATATAATGGGGTATTCAAGGGCTGATAGTTTGTCATCTACTTAGTTACAGCAGTTGTTCTGAACTTACAGAACAAAGTCTTCATCCTCTTTAGGCTAAATAAAGATAAGATGAACTGCACAAACGGTTCAAAGCAATAGTTTAAGCAGCAACTTTAATTAAAGCTTGCAGCTTACTAGTATGTATTCCCTCCAAAATGATGCACTCAAAACGTATCCAGCCAAAGCAAGGATGGCTTTTGCATATTCCCCACGCATGTTTTTTTCTCCCTATTTTTATTCTTTTTCAAACAAAAGACAAAGCTGTGCTTTTCTCGTCGTCCTCTTTTTCTTTATTCCTCTTTCACCTTCACTTTGGCTCCTGCTCACGTGCCTCCTCATCAGCCTTGACATTTTCCCTCCCTCTCCTCCCCTCTCAAATGAATGACACTTTTTATCTTTCCTTTGCATCTTGCTAATTTTCATCGTATGCTGTTACGGAAAGAAGATTAGTTTTTATTCTAACCAACGGAAAGAGCTCTGCACTTTTCATCGGCTGTGCAATTTCCTCTGGTTCCTTGACATGATGCTCACTCGTGCACTCACTCACTGCCAGTTCAATGGCAATCCTTTTCCATTCCAACTTTTCCCTTCTTTGCAACGGCAAAGATCGCCGGCCCTTTGCTTGGCTGCTTGCTTATAAGCAGGTACATTCTGCTGTCAATGTGTCATCTCATATCCGTTGCTGCTTGGTGTCCAAACTCCAAAGCGAGAGCTCAAACTAGCTAGCTGGTACTGGTAGCTTGCATGGACAACTCTCCTAGCTTGCTCTTCTTCAACCTCCGGTTCATCTTTGTTCAGCTGAGTTCACAATCTCGCTTGATTTCTACTCTGCTATTGCATACTGCAGGTTAAACCGAGTTCACCATGGGTCTCCAAAGGAAGATCCTGGGAAAGAGAAGCATCCAGCAGGTGCCTGAAGAAGAAGTGGAAGCTGTTAGTATTCCGCAGCTGGTGGAGCTGCGGTCACTGAAGCTGAAGCAGTCTCACTCCCACGGCGGCGACGACGACGATGAAGATCCACGACAGCTTTCACCGCCGCCGTCGGCGAACGGTGCTGGAACTGAACGCCCCCTGCACTGCCCACCGGCGCCGAAGAAGCCGAGGCTCGAGCTGGGGTGTAGCCTGGACGGATTCAAGGTGCTGCGTGTCATGGACCTGCGTTGCTTCCTGCGCTGAGGGCTGAGCCAGTGCCCTCTTGAGTTTTGACTGCAGCATCAGTTCAACTCAATGAAAAACGCGTCAACGAACGTGTTCACGGAAGAAAAAAAAGACTGCAGCATCAGTTATAGTTATCTGTCCAAGTTCCAGATGTCTGATCTGAATATCTGATAGTATGCTCTGTCGAGACTCGCATAATTCACCAATGTAATGGCGGTCAGTTGCCAGCCATATATTTGTCAATATCCATCTGGATTCGAATTTAGACTTGGCTTAGGTGACCGTGTATTTTTTTTTCTAATATAGAAGTGTGAGTGTCGATATTCATAGCTTTGCATGCATGTAGGCATACATATATGCATCTATATTGTGTTTTAGAAAAAGTACTAAAAAAGACATACAAGTAATAGGACAATTTGTATGTCGAATCTAGGTGTGGAATTGTAGGTGGAGACGGGAGGAAATTAAGCAGAGTTTAAGCCGGCTCTTAAATCCTGTCTTTCAGGTGAACAATCACATGCGGTTGCTTCAACTCAACCTTCAACATTTTATCTTCTTCCCCCATAAAAAGACTCTGTACATAGGGGCAGGGATTACTTGGTGCACCTGGACTTTTTGCATTTTGACATTGATCCTGGGCAAGCTCACAAGCTCAAGGAAGTTCATTGATGGGAAGCCTATTGCTTTCTCTGTTGCAACACTTGCATTGACGAAGCAGTGTAGCATCGGCTGGAATGTCGTCACCTCTACCATGCCAGTGAGTGCAAGGAAACTTATTCCCTTGAATACATGGCTATTATTTAGATCTGCAATTTTAGTGCCCATGATTCCATACCTAGTTCCCTTTCTGTCGTGCAGCAGTGGCCACTTCTCCTTTGATTTCGCACGGGTCCACTCCAAAAACGACCTGTTATTTTGCCGTTGCTGTCACCAGCATAATTTCTTTAGGCTGTCTTATGCTCTGCATATCGACATTAGCACCACTTTCTTTCTTGGTCACATATTTTAATGACAACTCATCTAGCTCATTCCAGATCTTTATAAACTTACTTTGTCGGTTCTGTTGCCAATGTCTCTTAAACAGCTCCACAAGGTCCTTATCTCCAAGATGTGCCTGCAATCTCTCCATAGGAGTGGCTCCAAATGGTTACAGTTATTCTAAGAGTTCCTCCATAGGATCCCGCAACTCCCTTTTGCGATGCGGTCATGTATAATGCAGACATCAGGATGCTCCTTCACGATTGTTTGCGCTCGGGTGCATGTTCGCGAAAAAATTGTTTGCTCTATGCAATTCAGGAAGCCCAGGTAATCCAAGAAACATACAGATCTCTCTTCAAAGCTGGGAGATTACCCAGTTATGCAGGATCTTCCCATTCAGGAAGCAGTCTTGAAGAGGAAATTTGACAATTCTTTCTCAGAAGAGTTGCATGTCACTGCATTAAGAAGAAAATTTAATGATTACAACACATACACACAATTTTTGGTTGTATGTTATTTAAAAAAAAAAAGTGGTTGCATGTCTTCCCTTCTGGGACGACATTCTACAAGCTAACCTCAATGGAGCATGTAGTGCGAAGTGTCGAGCTTTCCATTTTGGCAATAAGCACAAACTGCAGAAGCAACATACTGTACATGACATCCAACGTCATGTTTTTCGTGGTCCTTATTCTGTGCCTGCCAGCCGACTCCGTCTACGAAATCTGATATCAAGCGTTGGAGAGTTGGGGAGCATCTTTAGGCCACTGATGACAGACTTGACAGCTTCCTCCACTGGATCATTACCACCTTCAGAAATCATCCAGACAATGAGCACAATATGTTTGAGAGATGAGAGGTGGTGGATGCCAACCTCCAAACTGCCATATGTTGATTGTGCTTTATCTGCATCGAATCCGAGCCTAAGCCATTCTAGCATTCGCATGCCTCCTTCAAATATCAAACCAGGTCCATCTATATTACAGAATTCGAAACGACTTAGACATCGGAATGCACCACGACTGATGATGAGCCCGTCTTCAGAAACTTGCTTTACGAAAAGGTATAGCGAACGGATGGCAGGCAGATCTTCAAGAATGCGTAGATATTCTTGCTCCATCTTTTCAACTTTTATATCCAAGTGGGTGAGATCACATAGACAGGAACTAATCCACTTAGGAAACCTGGAGAAGTATTGACTGATATGAATGAACTTTTGGAGGAGACGTGGAGGCGGGTACCACGAATCCACAAAACAATCTCCACCACCAACATGGTCATTAATAGTGACATGCCGAAGGTTGTTTCCTCCAAGTTTGCAGAGGGACGACATCAAAGATTTCTTTCTAGTTTCCACATCACTTGTTTCGAGCCCAATGAAAGTCACTCGGAGCACCCTCAATCTGCTCAAAAGTGCTAGATCTTCCCCAAAATTGATGGAGCACTTCCAGCAATCAATAGTCCCTAATTCCTGAAGGGATTCCATGTTACCAAACCCATCTGGCATGATGAGACGTTGACCAATAAGATGCATCAGTCGCTTGAGCCGAACAATACTTTCTGGCAGCTGTGTTACTCCAGTCCCGCTTAAATCGATGGTCTGCAGTTTGTGTAGATTTCCAATTTGATCCGGTAGCACAACACCGCTTGCACTACAGAACCCCAGGTATCTCAGATGAAATAAACTTAAAATGCAATCAGGGTCAACAATCCTCAAATCACGGCATCCCTCTAGATCTAACACTCGAAGGACAGGTAGGTCTAAAACAGGAGGCATAGTCCAACCTCCAACATTGCATATACTAACTGACCGGAGATGGGACAGATTCATGGTTGCTCGAGAGACTGCCAGTGCATGTTCTGGATTGTCCCAGACAGAGAGCCGACGAATCCTTTGATCTGAAGATGGAACCCCCTGGCCATACAACATAGTTAAAAAATTTTCTTCAGTTGAACGAGAGATGAGGAAGTTCAATACAATATCATGGACTCGACATCCTCCTTCTCCACGAGTTTCATATCTTGAACGCAAGGTTATGGGCTGGACCAAACTCCTGTTTACAAACTCATAAAAGTAACTCTCAGCAACTTGTTCCAAAGTGAAGCCTTGTTTTTCAGTGATAAATCCTTCAGCTATCCATCTCCATACTAAGATATCTTTGTAAATCATGTGATCCTCTGGAAATGTACTCAGATACAATAAGCAATTTCTCATATTGTGAGGTAGATCGCTGTAACTCAGAGACAGTATCTTATCTATCACTTCCAGGCCACTATCTTTTTCGTGCATAGAATGGATAGAATTAAGTGCCCTCTCCCATTCTTCCTCTGTTCTTGGTTTAGTAGCTATCATGCTAGCTAGAGTAACAATGGCCAGTGGCAAACCATCACATTTTTCAATTATCTCATCTTTAATCCCCTCCAGCTGAACAGGGAACTCATCTTCATCACATAATGTCCTTTTCAGAAATAATTTTTCAGAATCATTTCTGCTAAGAGGTTTCATTTGATAGATAAAACCCTCATCTGAAGTGCAGGAGAACTGACCTACACTGTTGATACGTGTTGTCATAATTACTTTACTTGTATGGCCATTATTAGGAAGAGCACATTGTATGGTTTCCCATGCTGACTTTGTCCAAACATCATCTATCACAACGATACCTATAAGCAAGTTTGTGAAGCAGTGAAAATCATTTCTGTATAAAGGCAATAGAAACGGTTGTGCATACATATAAAAATCGTACAAAAGTTTATGAAAAATACAAATACGACATACACTAGACGTTAGTTTTAACTTTGGATTGTCATCATGCAAAACTACTTATTGTTGTGTAAGAGAAATTTGGTGTAATTAATGGCTGTACAAGCAAATAACCACTGAGATTCACAAATTTCTAGTACGTGTTCTGAATTAAGCTAACTAAAAAGAAAAGTTAAACTAACCTCTGATTTTTAAGATGTGATCTTAGGCTGTCAATCAGTTGCTTTTCGCTGCGAGATCCTATTGCCATCAATCCTAAATCTCCACCGTGGCTCCCAATTTGAGATAGAAACTCCCATAGAAGGCTAATCATATTGGGCTTTTGCGACACAGACACAAAAGCTGCACAAGAGAATTGGCCCCTAATTTTCTCGTACACCTGTTTAGCAAGTGTAGTCTTGCCTGAACCTCCAGATCCAACAATGGCGACAACCCTCTGTCGCTCTGCTGGCGGGTTCTCGCCGACGAGCCGGCCAATGATCTCCTGGCTTGGGCCCTGGATGCCCACGAGCTTCTCCACCTCCACATAGAGTGCCTGTAACCGAGGATCGATCTCCGCGTGCGAGATGCTAGAACCGCCCTCCTCAATCCTGTATCTCTTTCTACGCCGGTACGATTCGTTGGCAAGATCATGAAGCTCTTTGATCTCCTGAGCAAACCTGTGGCGGTAGTGGAGTTTCTTGAGCTTCCGGATCATCCGGAGGAAGAACCTCTTGACGCCGGTGGTGGTGTCCGGCGGTTCGTGGTCGACGTGGTGGGTGAAGAGGTCGATGCTGTCCTCCAAGTCGTAGGCCAGCTCGCGCATCTCCGCCGCCCACGCCTTCGCCTGCGCGTCCGGGCTCTCCATGGCCGCGTGCTTCTCCAACGCTAGGTTGATGGCGATCAGCTCCTTCCTCAGCTGCTCCATCTTCTTCCTCACGTTTTTGAGCTCGGTGTACTTCTCGACGAGGCTAGCGAGCTTGTCGAGCACGGGGCCCATCATCCCCGCCAAGGCGCTCTCCTCCCCAGTTCCTCCCATCTTCGATTCCTCCTCCCTCTCCGACTCACATAATTATCGGATCTTGAAGTTAGGGAACTAGATGTGGATCCAAGAAAAAAATTCCTGTTAGTGGTAGTAGAAATCTTGCTTTGAAATAAAGCACTTGCTGAAATAAATTGTTCGAGGAGATGAGCTGCTCTCACTTACTGATGAGATGAGTGTAGGAATCCGTATTTTGGAAAATAAATTGTTTTGGCTGGCTGAAATGAGTTTGTAATTAGTAGGCTATGAAATCTAAGGTTGTTTGGATGGATACTATTATCTCTTTGACAGATGGACAGATGGATTACTCACTACCCCACACAAACTGGCACTGGCCGAAGACGTGATGAATTGTATCTTGTCCTCAATACACTTCACGCAGACACTACAATTCGTGGGCAAACTCGTCGCTATCCCTACAATAGCTATGCCGATATCAATTTGATTTGAAAAAAGTCTAAAATACTACCCTCAAACATGGTCTATGTTTAGATAACTCCTAAACTATTATTTAGTTTGCTGTACTTCTCTCAATTATTTCAGTTCCTCCAATTATCCTTCAACAAAAATTATCTTTTTTGTTTCTCAACATTCAAATTGATTTTTAATTTCAAATTCTGTGAGGGGGATAGCTAACACCACAATTTATGTTTAAAAACATATGTCACAAAATTTAATCATTATTTTGGTAGGTTAGGACATATAAAAATAAATTAATACTAGAAATATAAATTTGTATTAAACATAATGATATAAAATCATAACGTTTTTTTAATAACTTATGGTGTCCACTGTCACCTCACAAATTTCAAAATAAAAATTAAACTTGTGTGTAGAGAAATTAAAAAACCAAATCTTATTAGAGGGTAAATTGGATCAACCGGAATAGTTAAGAGGAGTAAATCAAACCAAACATTAGTGTAGGGGTTGCCTGGACATAAGTGATACTTGAAGGTAGCAATTTGGACTTTTTTCATTTAAAGCTAATCATGGGTGTATGCAAACGATAACTACTAAATAAAAAAAAGGATATATACGTCTTTTGTCAACATTCTTAATCTGTCTGAAAATTTACAAAAACTTATTTATTATAAGACGGATAGAGTATATATCCCGTACAATGATGAAAAGCACGGGATGACATGAGACAAAGGCCTATATGCACATTGAGAATTCCCAAAAAAAAAATTCGGTGAAGAACTCGGAAATCTTTACATTGCAACCTTTATATCCTGCATGTCTATATAATTTACCAAAACAGCATATATACTATAATGGAGCCTAAGCAGGGGGTAGATCTAGCACCAGGTACCAAAGCTATATACTATAATGGAGCCTAAGGGGCAGGTCTAGCACCGGGTCGGCCGAGGCACGAGCCCCCGCTACCGCCGCCGGATGTATAGAGCCCCTCCTAAGATCCCTCTACAAGTTTATAGTCACTGAAACTTAGAAGTAGAGGCTAAATGTAGAAAACATGTGAGAGAAGCCCCTCCGTCCTAGCGTATGTTTCTAGATCTGTAAGCCTAAGTAACAAAAAAAAAGCATACAGATTTATGTACGAAGCTGTGAGATTATCATTTCCCTGATGAAGATTATCAAACTGTGACAAGCCAACCAATCAGGAAGCAGTCTTGAAGAGAAAATTTGGCAACTTCTCTTCTCAGAAGATTTAAGAAGAAAATCGAATGATTATATAACACCTCCACGTACAACTTGTGGTTGCATGTCTTTCCTTCTAGGACGACAGTCTACCTATTAATAACCTAAATACAGCAAGTATAGTGCAAGTGTCCAAGCTTTCCAGTTTGGAAACAAGCACAAACTGCAGAAGCAAACATATACAACAGTACAGTAAGCCAACCACAAGCCGTTACATACATCCTATGGGTTCTTCTATGTGGCCCTATTGTACCTGCCAGGTGAAAACCGACTCCGTCTACTAAATCCAATGTCCACTGTGGCGCAGTTGGGAAGCATATTTACTTGGCCATTGATGACAGATTTGACGGCCTTCTCCGCGGGATCATTTTCACCTTCAGAAATCATCCGGATAGTAAGACCGATACGTTTAACATTTGAGAGGTGCCCAATGCCACTCTCTAAACTGCCACGTGTTGAAACTGCTTTATCTGCGTCGAATCCGAGCCTAAGCCATTCCAGCATTCGCATACCTCCTTCAAATACCAAACCAGGTCCGTCTACATTATAGAATTGGAAACATGTTAGACTTCGAAATGCACCGTAACTGACGATGAGTCCATCTTCTGCAACTTCCTTCACATCAAGGTATAGGACACGAATGGCAGGCAAATCTTCAAGAATACGCAGATATTCCCTTTCCATCTTCTGAACAAGTATATCCAAGTAGGTGAGATCACAAAGACTGGGATTAATCCACTTCGGAAACCTGGAGTATTTACTGATATGAATAAACTTTTGGAGGCGGCATGGTGCAGGGTACCACGATTCCACAAGACAATCTCCACCACCAACATTGTCATAAATATAGACAGACTGAAGGTTGTTTCCTCCGAGTTTGCAGAGAGATGAAATCAAAGATTCCTTTCTAGCTCCCAGATCACTTGTTCTGTTCCACATGAACGTCACTCGGAGTACCCTCAACTTGCTCAAAAGTGCTAGATCTTCCCCAAAATTTATGGAGCAGTTGCAGCCATCTAGATTCCCTAACTCTTCAAGGGATTCCATGTTACCAAACCCATCTGGCATCATGAGTTGGTACCCAACAAGACACATCAGTCGCTTGAGCTGAACAATACTTTCTGGAAACTGTGTTACGCTAGCTCCGCTTAAATCAAGAGTCTGCAGATACTGTAGAGTCCCAATTTGAGCTGGTAGTGTGACACCCATTGCTCCACCAAACCTCAGATATCTCAGATGGAATAAACTTAAAATGCAATCAGGATCAACAATCCGATTCCTTGTTTGGGCTGGTAGCGTGACACCATTTGATCTACAGAACCTCCGAAACCCCAGTTGAAATAAAATTATAATGCCATCAGGATCAAGAATCCTCAAATCATTGTATTCCTCTATATCTAACACCCGAAGAATAGGTAGGTCCAAAACAGGAGGCATCGTCCATCCTCCAACATCGCATATACTAATTGAACGGAGATGAGACAGATTCATGGTTCCTCGAGAGACTGCCTGTGCATGTATTGAATTGTACCAGACAGAGAGCCGACGAATCCTTTGATTTGAAGATGGAATACCCTGGCCATCCAACATAGTTACAAAATTTTCTTCAGCTGACCGAGAGATGAGGAAGTTCAATACAATATCATGGACTCGACATCCTTCTTCTACCGTGTACATTCCAAATCTTGGAACCAAGGTTATGGGCTGTATCAAACTCCTATTTATAAACTCATAAAAGTAACTCTCAGCAACTTGCTCCAAAGTAAAACCTTGTTTTTCAGTGACAAATCCTTCGGCTATCCATCTCCATAGCAATATATCTTTGTAAATCTCATGATCCTCTGGAAATGTACTGAGATGCAGTAAGCAATTTCTCATATGGTACGGTAGATCGTTGTAACTCAGAGTAAGTATCTTATCTATTACTTCCATCCCACTGTCTTTTTCATGCATATAACGGATAGAATTAAGTGCTCTCTCCCATTCTTCCTTTGTTCTCGGTTTATTAGCTAACAAACTAGCTAGAGTAATAATAGCCAATGGCAAACCATCGCATTTTTCAAGTATATCATTTTTTATCCCCTCCAGTTGAATAGGAAACCTATCTTCATCAGCACAAAGTGTCATTTTGAGAAATAAATTTTCAGAATCACTTCTGCTAAGAGGTTTCATTTGATAAAGAAAGCCCTCATCTGAAGTGCAGCACAACTGTCCTACACTGTTGATGCGTGTCGTCATGATTATTCTACTTGTACAGGCATTTTTAGGAAGAGCATATTGTATGTATTGCCATGCTTCCTCTGTCCAAACGTCATCAATCACAACAAGATACCTATATAAGCAAGTTTGTGAAGAAGTGAGAATCATTTTTTCAGTAAATGCAACAAAATTTTGCACACATGCAAATATGTTAGGAGAGTTTTAGGGCTGGCATTCTTTGGTCAATCCCTAGCTTTGTTTACAGTATATATTTGCTAGCTTGTGTATCATAAAGAACGGGTGGTGCATCACCGTGATGATGGATTAATTAAAAGGTTCTTAGAATTCGATTGTTAAGTTTTGGATTACAATCATTCAAATTGCAAAACTGTAATTAAAGGCTGTGCAGGTGTACTCATTTACCCTTACCCACAAATAACCACTAGTAGTATTGACAAATTTATACTAGTGGTTCGTTCGAGGAAAAAAAAATTCTACTAGTGGTAACTAGTAAGATTCACAAATTTCTAAAAGTTACTGAAGCAAGCAAAAAGAAAAAGAATGGTAAACTAACCTTTGATTTTCGAGATGTGATCTTAGTTGGTCGATCAGTTGTAGGTCACTGCAAGATCCCATTGCCATCCATTCTTTAACTCCAGTTTGATATTGTAAGTCACGTAGAAGGTTATTCATGTTGGGTTTCTGTGATACAGACACAAAAGCTGCACAAGAAAACTGACCCTTGATTTTCTCGTACACTTGTTTTGCTAGCGTAGTCTTGCCTGAACCTCCAGATCCAACAATGGAGACAATCCTACATCCCTTTGCTAGGTTCTCGCCGACGAGCCGACCAATGATCTCGTTGCTTGGTTTTTCAATGCCCACGAGTTTCTCCACCTCCACGTACAGTGCCTGTAACCGAGGATCGATCTCCGCGCACGAGATGCTAGAACTGCAGAAGCTGCGCTCGTCAATCTTGCATCTCTTTCTACGCCCGTGTGCTTCGTTGACAAGATCAAAATGTTCTTGGATCTCCTTGGCAAACCTATGGCGGTAGTGTAGTTTCTTGAGCTTTCTGATCTTGTTGCGGAAGAATCTCTTGACTCCGGTGGTGGTGTCCATCGGCTCATGGTCGACGTGGTGGGTGAACAGATCGATGCTGTCCTCCAAGTCGTAGGCCAGCTCGCGCATCTCCGCCGCCCAGGCCTTCGCCTGCGCGTCTGGGTTCTCCATGGCCGCGAGCTTCTCCAGCGCGAGGTTGATGGCCACCAGCTCCTTCCTGAGCTGCTCCAGCTTCTTCCTCACGTTCTTGTGCTCGGTGTACTTCTTCTCGATGAGGCTAGTGAGCTTGCCGACCACGGTGCTCATCACCCCCGTTAAAATATTCTCCCCAACTCCTCCCATCTTCAGATGTCGCTAGTTTCTCAAATCCTTGTTGGAATTGATCCTTCTCTCCAAGCAATTGATCCTCCCCACTCTAGATCTGGCTGCAATAACAATCCTGTGTGGTCGTGGTGGTTACGGAATACCCTTCACTTACAGTGAGGCGCTGACTTTGCAGCAGCTCTTCGTTTCTTCAATGGTGGGCCCGACACAGGCTGGCCGAAGACTTTGCCTTGTTCAAAGGTTTGCAGCACCTAACGTAGATGGTGATCCAAAATTAAGAATTTTGCTACAGCTATGCCCATATTATCAGTTTCATTTTTAATTAAATTGATGTAAAGAGCACCTTCTCCAGCTAAGCTAGGATACCATACCACAGCATCCACAAAAACTGTTTCTCATGGAATGTTGCTCGGCTCCAAAGGAACGTTGACCATTGATTTAGAAAGGACGCTACAAAAACAATAAGTTCCGCAATTATAAGTGTGGTCGTGTGGATAATTTGTTCACAAACTTAATAGACCTCTCAACTCAACCATCAGCCTCAAGTTTGCTGGATCTGTCTGGCGCCACACATCTCAAATGACTGCTGAACCAGAGGCAAGTGCCACTGCCAACCATTTGAAAACACACTTTAACTTGTAGAATTTTCGTGGCAATTTATACTCAGAAATAGTTTTAAATGATACATAGAGATAAGAAATGGCCTGCAGTACGGTGAACATGAGCACTGCAATTCTAGAATTGAAATAATATAAACCAACATCATCCCACAGCGTTATCTTTAACTTGGTCATAACAGATTTCTTACCACAATATACAGCCACAAGGGACGCTGAGATAGAGGGGCGATGAATCCTTTTCACTCTATAATCTATATCCAACACCAGTACAAGTCTAGACAAACAAACAGGATGACAGGAGAGGGAAGATCATGAAATCTCTATCAAGGGGGTGATCAGCAACTACATACAAAAATCTTGCGGCATAACATGGTATGATCAAGTAAATGTGTGACAACGGAAGGTCATCGACCAAATAAACTTGTTGCTGAGGACAACAGACCAGACGAGATGAATTTCAGTCCACTAGATCCTCCAGGAAAGTAGGATATAGTGTAATATGCAAGGGCCAGAACCTGGGTCAAGAAAAGAGTGAAAAATTGAGTGAGTCTGAAAAGCAGAATGCACAAGAGAATGCTGAGGTATTGCAGTTTCGCAGGCCATATGCCAGATGACAGCTCATCATGACACTGTATTGTTCGATAAAGAAGTAGGGAAGGAGAATTATTTTTGTTTTCTTTTCTTTTTTGGGAGTGGAGGGGAAGGCAAACTCTTCCCTCCCCTTTGAAGAAGGCACTGGTTATGAACTCATTGTTCAGATTAGCAGCCTGTTCTAGATGTGTCATAAACAGAAACTACACCTAATGCACTAAAACAAGTGACCTTACAGTATATCAAGATTTGAACAAACATAGATTGAGTCCAAAAAAAAAAAATCTTAGTCAAAGACATACCTGAAGGACTGAGAAGATCACAGAGAGGAAATAGCTGTGAAGCACCATAGAAACATAGATCGTACCAACCATGCATCCAATAAATCCCACTGAAAACGGGAGCCTCTGAATAGGATAGCAGACAAAAATATTCATCGGATATCATGTGTTTCAATGTTACAAATATTGCAGCCATTTAAGAAAATTAAGACGGTACAAGAACTACTTATAAATTCTATAGAAACAATAAAAAAGGTCTAGCTTCACTATGAAGTCATCGTTAATAGTTTTAAAGAAAATCCCTTGTCTTGCCAGCTAGAAGAATATGAAGTTATGAACAAAGTAGTAATTGCCAAACACAAATAAATTTACCAAGCAGTGGATTAACAATTGAACTAGACTCAAGATGTACTCATTGACATGCATCAAATGACTTGATTTCTAAAATTAGAAAGTTCAACCTAGCACAAGTGGGAAATATGTAGCTGGTAAGGACTTGCAGCTTTTATGATGTTTTTGAAGGCATTAAGGGTGTGGAAGGTAGATTGGGCAGGCTAAGCAACCATTAAGCAATAGTGGGAAGTCATTTCGCCATAGGCATCAAAGCAATGTTGTCATCAACTTCAGCTAGGGGTGATGCTGGACAAAATAAAGAATACCCCACAGCCGCAACATTTTTATTTTGACCCAATTTCGGCTGATGAAAGTGACTCTCAACAAATGACTCGACAATTTCAGCTGATGAAAGTGACTCCCACCAGATGACTCGTCTCTTTCAACTCTAGATTTTATGTAATGTTGTCAACAAGCAAAACAAGATGAGAGGCTGGATAAAGAGCCACATCTTTATTTGAAACCAATTTGGGCTAATAGAAGTGACTCCAGCCAAAAAATAAATGCATTTCATTCAGGTCTAGATTGGAATTCCCTAGAAACTTGAGGTTTCCAAATCCTGATACTGATGGTATAACACTGCACATTATGATTAGAAATAAGCAAGATGAATGAAGAGCATATTGAAGCCTGTTATAGTAAAAAACACAACTGAACTTAAAATAACAATTCTGAGTTGGGAGGAGGTTGTTCCTATGGATTTTAAGTTGCACCAACCATTCTGTCCACTACACAGATCCAAGAGTATTTCATCTGCACTCCACAGATTTAATTACTAGAAAACACTGTAACAAACTTTATTAGAAAGCTCAGACTGTTGAGCCAAATATGCTTTTATAGGATATATCTAAAGAACCCAAACCATTTGTTTAGATTGATGAACTTACCCTCCAAATTGCTTGTTTGGTATTTTATTATGTTATCTTTTACCAGACAATCTATATATGAAACAGAAGGGGATAAGGAACCGTTACTTCAACTTCGCAATAAGGAGAATTGCCCTAAAACATACAAAAAAAAAAAAGAAGAAGTGTGGTACTAAAAAAGAACACAGATAAGCTACAGCCGATTCTAGAGAAATATCCATTGATAGACATCGAAACAAATGCTCAATATCAATTAATAACAGTCCTTTGCAGCTTGGAGATGGCCATAATTTATAAGCTGAGCTCACCAAGGAACTCAAGAGAACAACAACAACAACAACAACAACAAAGCCTATGTTGGGTTCAAAAGTCTAGTGGTAACAAACCAGCGACCACCGACAAATCCTGACCAATATAACAGGATCAAACTGATAACTAGCATGATTTATGGCTTCAAGGTCTTGGAAATTTTCAGAAAACAGCTTACAAACCCAGTTTGACAATATATAATTAGTTTATAACAGATTATAGCAGCAACAGCATACCACCTCCCAAAGGATAAAGTGAAGCTTAATGTTTAAATTACGGGAAACGTAGAAGTAACAGCAGTGCAGAGCGAAGCTAACTACATTACCTCCTTGGAGGTCATGTGGGCGAGCTGGTTGGCTGGCCCCTTGAGCGCGAAGAGCGAGGCAATGATGAGCGCGCACCCGAGCGTGAAGCAGATGGCGAACTTTTGCGGCATGAGCACCATGACGGGGAGGAAGAGCGCGAAGGCGATGAAGACGAAGAAGATGCCGGTGGCGAGGAAGAGGCCGAAGTACATGAGCGCCTTCCCGGAGGGGAAGCTGCTGGTGGCGCTCTGGAAGCTCCCCGGGAGCTCCCGCACGCCCTTGGTGACCCTGCGGCGGTCAGATCGGATCCGATGAGAGGGAGCGGGGGGAGACCGGATCTGAGGGTTTGGGGTCGGGATGGGGAAGCGGAACTCACGAGCTGAAAGTGCCGGAGACGGTGTCGTTGGCGGAGCGGACGGCGGCCTCGATGTCGAAGGGGAGCGGCGAGGAGGAGGAGGCGTCGGAGCGGGTGGCGGCGTACGAGTTCCAGTCGGCGAGGAGGGACGGCTGCGACTCAGCGGCGGTGCCGGAGGAGGCGGCGGTCCCGCCGGTGAACCAGGCCTGCGCCGTCTTGTGCATCGCGGCAGCTGCGGGCCTGCGGCGGCGTCGACGGGGTGCGGCGGGGCGGGCGGGAGTGGAAGCGGACAGCGGAGGGAAATGGGAGGAAAACGACGGGACTTATTTCTCGAGAAGGAATTGGTTTTCTTACAGCTGAGGGAAAAATTTTGTCTGCGCGTCCGTCCAGAACTCCAGGTTTAATGCTCTCTGGCGGGCAGCCATGCTTCTCAATGAAGGAACTCCCACGTTTGAGAAGAAAAATTGATGATGAAGGTAGCGAGCCTTGATTTCTTTTTTATTTTTATTTTTATTTTTAAAATTTAGGATCAACTGAATGAGATTTAATCGCTCTCTCTGTGTCACAATTCCATTCATTTTGAAAAAACCTTGAGCCTCGAGTGTGGAAACAAAACTTGCTTAAAATGTTACTCCATCTAGTCTATCTAGTCATAATGACAACGTCCAAAACAATATGCAGCTATGGCCCTGTTCGTTTGGGAGAATTTGGATGAATCTGAAAAAATTTATAAGAGTGTAAACCGTGAACAGTGAATTTCGACTGGTTTTTGCACCAGCCGAACGCCCCTATGTTTATGTTTGTGCACCTGAACAATATAGAACTGTAAGTATTTATATTGTTCGACTACACGAATAAACGGCTGCTGCAGCAATATAGAACTGTAAGTATTCATATTGTTAGGCTACACGAATACCGCTGCAGCTGCCGCTTATTTTTCTCTCATAGTACTCAGCGGCTGTGCAGCTGAAACACGTTGATTATTTTGGAGACAGCTTATATCAATTTGATGCGCTAAACAACTAACTACTTCCTCCACTTCAAATAGTAAAACATTTTGTTTTTTCTAGATGCTTTTACTATGTATATCTAAGTGCATACTAGAAAAACTAAAATGTATTATAATTTACGGGCTGTTCGGCTGATGGTTTTTATGGCTGATAAGCTGGCTAATGCTGTTTCGTTGTGAGAGAAAAATATTGTACCATACCTGATAAGCCGGACTGATAAGTTCAAGCGAACAACCCTCGAAGTTAGTTGAGTGGTTGCAATGCAACAATCATGCTCTTTCAAGAAATAAAGGGGATGTGTTTCAAATTTCTCCACAAATTTAAGGGATCGGGTGCAATCTTAACCAAACCTCCCACTTAAAGCTTGCATTACTCAATCAACCACCCTAAAATTCTGCCACCCACTAGCTCCATATAGGCTTTTAATAAAGAGTATGTTAGTCTTGATTTAAAACCCCTAGTATGTTCTAAATTTGCTTAAAAACTTTATATTTGTAAATGAGCTCCCGTTTGAGACCAAATTATATAAATATAAGAAATGCACGCACATAGTTTGAAATAAGAAATGCAAATTCATGCTGCCTTGCGGGGGCCACACGCTCCTGAGTACAACATCAATGCTGGCATACAATTGCCCTGTTCGCTTGGCTGATAAGTTATAGCTGAAAGTATTGTTGGCTGATTTATTGTGAGAGAAAAATATTGTTCGTTGGCTAAAAAAGTACGGCTTATAAGCTAAGCGAACAGGACGGAGCGTTAGCCCTTGAAAAAAAAATCATACCTCTACATATGTCGTGAGAGATTGAAACCACAGTTTGCTCAACACAAGCTATACATGCCTTGTCTCTTCACAATCCCACACCTATGCATGTTATTAGGCCTTGTTTAGTTTCTTTCCTTAAAGTTTAGTCTCTATTCCATCGGATGTTTAGACATATACATAAGTATTAAATATAGATTAAAAAATAACTAATTGTACAGATTGCGACTACTTTACGAGACGAATTTTTTAGTCTAATTAGTCCATGATTTGACAATGCGGTGCTACAGTAAATCTATAGTAACCTGTGCTGATGATGGATTAGTTTGGCTTAGTAAATTCGTCTCGCAGATTTTTGAGGACTTCTGTAATTTGTTTTATATTACTATCCGAACACTCCCACGTGACACCCCCAAATAACACCCCTAAACTTTAACTCCTGGATTTAAACACCACCTGAGTTTATGTGTAAGAAGTGTCTGTTCGGCTGATATTAAAGCCGACTAAAGCTGATTTGTTATGAGAGAAAAATATTGTAGATTCTAGCTGATAAGTCGGCTGATAAATTCAAACGGACACTCCCGAAAAGTTTGGCACAAACTAGTGGAATCTTTCACACATGGGGCGAGAGGACGAAGGAACCAACATAATCCCAAACGAGCATACGTCACTGAAGCCACTTCCCACCATATATAGCGCCTTCTCTGGTTGTTGCTTCCACCTTTTGTTAGAGCTAAGCTGTCGCCACTTCTGCAAGATCTCCTAAGGCCTTCCCTAACGTGGTAGCCTTGCTAGTAGTCCTAGATGTACAGGTAAGCGCGGATGCCACCATGTATAAAAGATAGACACCTTAAGGTTGTCATATGTGTGCTTGCAGGAGCTATAAGTGCCTATGGTGAGAGAAGGTGGTCCACTCATAAAAAGAGGAGAGATTGAGAGAGGTGAAAACGACTAATAATCAGAGGCGAGAGTAAGGCCTGGTTTAGTTCCCAAAAATTTTTACCCCAAACTATTACATCGAATCTTACGGCACATGCATGGAGTATTAAATATAGACGAAAAAAAACTAATTGTACAGTTTGATTAGAAATCGTGAGACCAATGTTTTAAGACTAATTAGTCCATGATTTGCCATAAGTGCTACAGTACTAACATGCGTTAATGACGTATTAATTAGGCTTAATAAATTCGTCTCGCAGTTTCCAGACGAGTTATGTAATTAGTTTTTTTTATTAGTGTCCGAAAACCTCTTCCGATATCCCAAAACATCCAATGTAACATCAAAAAAAATTTATTTCACGAACTAAACACAGCCTAAAGTGCGGACGTCACGGAGGAAATGGTGATTTGCTTACGTTGAATGACCAGTGGTCTCGAAGCCTCCGTGCCTATATGGATTACTTTTTTTTATTACCGGGATCACCAACTCTATTAGCTTGCATTGGTCGTGCCCTAACACCCTGCAAAGCCACTATTCTTTGACAGGGAGGTAACACCCTACGAGGCCACTATTCTCTGACATGGAGGTCTAAAGCCGAGGTGGATATTGAAGGCAACACGCCACTGTGGTGCGTTAGGGAAGCCTTGAAGGATGGCATACGGGGCCACCTCCCAGTTGTGAACCTTCCTAAGATAATTCAGATAAAGAAACTGTTTTTTTATAAGACGATAAGGAAACTGTTGGCACATGCTGGCGCAGTGGCGCTCATGAGAATGAGAAATAGCAAAAAATAAAAGATACGTGACGTACTGACGTATATCTGGTTCCATTCAGGTTGCAAGAATAGCCTGCATAAAGCATGCTATCAGGTGTATTGCAAGAACTCAGAAATGCAGAGTACAGATTCCAGGCTCAAGTATCTTGGCAGTTAACCAGAAGAACGTAACGCAAAACAGCAGGGGTATCAAATGCACCCTGCTACTTATTTCTCCCATAGATAATAAACTCATACAGTTAGCTGGGAGAGGACTACTGACTACATGCTATATTGCTACAGCAGTGCCATACATAGATGCAGAACCAGCCCCAAAAAAATAGGCAAAATGGAATATCTTGAGTTTCTGTTTCAAGAACTGCTTGATGTGGTCGTTTCCTGCCAAATCTGCTCATAAATGCTAATTGCTCAGAATGGTCTTCAGCGTGTCCATGGCCTCATCAGAGCTATCTTATGTGAATGATCATCTTGTTCAAGAAATCTCTGTGCTCGGAAAAATATTCCAACAGCTCATCCTTGGTGGCCCAAGCATAGTCCTTGCATTTTCCAATATGGTATTTCGTGGTGCCGACCACTTGTGACTTGAAAAAGAAACGCTGCAAGAAGCATAACTGGATTAAGAGACTACCACATGACAGTACATTCAACTAACACATCTTCGTGGTAGATGGAATCTAAATACAACAATTCAAAAGACAAATGCTGAGGAGCAGTGAGCAAACCCAAGCAAGGATTCAGAAATAGTATCACGTTGAAACATTAGTTTCCTTACTGAACGCAAGGATATTTTTTTGTGAAACAAAATAAGCACCTTGAATGATGAAACACTTGAATCTGTTTGTTTAAGAGCCATATGAGTCATTGGAGCATTGCCAACAAAGTACGTATTGTCAAGTCCCCCAAGAACAGACTTCAATGCTGACTCAGCACGCTGGAATAGAACAGAAATAAAAGCTGGACATAAGGAACTGGGAATAACTCATGCATATTTCATTTGTAGATTTCCAGAACTGGTACCAGTCGCATAGTTTCTTCATTTTCATATATTTTTTCTGGAAAATGCCAAACAGACTTTCCATCAGGAGCCCCGTAAGTGTTGCCATACAGGAGGAGATACAATTTATTATCAAGAGCTCGTTGTAACGACCTACAAACAAAAATGGTTCAGTACAAGCTTGACAGTGCAATGCTGAAAAGCTAAAAAGTTCAGAATTACATAATACTAATCCATGGTCTCATGGAATATATTTGACATTGAACACAATTCTATGATGCAATTCATGCAGTTGCAGGATAGAAAATGGATCCCTTAATCATGTTGAGTACGAAGTTATGCATGGGAAATGCCTATTACTGTCGTCTTTGAAATGATCCACAGATGATGTCCTGTTTCGGCTTCTTATAGAAGCAGACACTTTGTAACGATCTTAACTAACAAACTTCAACATGTATTGTTGTAGCTACTTTCCCATTGTGGCCTGTACTCACCCAAAACCAAAGTAATTTAAGCCTTGGACACCTAGACGGAACCACATTAATCCTTAAAACTTACTATTGTACAGGTCAAAATGGGACAAAAGCTTTAAGGGCTTGAGACTCCCATATGACAAATCCAAGAAATTCTATTATTAATTGAAATGGAAAGAGAAGGATATACTTTGTATTTTCATGACCAAATTGTAACGGCATAGATTAGTCAGGTAGTGCTATAATGGGTACTATGATTGACAAACAGAAGAGATTTTTTTAATTGTAAATAAATGTTGGGTTGCATAGGCAGAGCAAATACAACTGGCCTTAAAAATCTAGTGCACAATCATGCAGGGAGTTCAACTAGTATCCTAGTACTTAGAAAGTATAGGGAAGCTCAATGCGTGAAATAAACTCTAGCTCATCCTAGTATAAATGCAGGCCAGTAGAGGATACAAAGAATAACTCCAGAACCATTTTGAAACTAGGACTCCTTAATGCGTAGGGGTGAAGTCGAGCACTTACTTCTGGTAATTTGTTCTATCAGCCTCTGTGATTCTTGGAGCAGGCACATAATCAATGTGATAATCACCCTTACCCCTACGAAAGAAAATGTGGAGACATTATTAAAAAAAATATTAGATGCAAATTGCAGAGTATACAAATTGAGAATGGAAAACATCCTAAGAATCAGAGTCAGACAGTAGTCATCACATAAATGTTTGCTATAAAAAGATTTTATACCATGTGTATTACTTTCAGGTCAACTAATTTCGTTGGGGCTGTCTTAAGTCCATGCAATTGTGCCTAATTGACGTGGAATGGAACCTGAATCGTTCACAGATGTTCATTACAAAATACAAAGCTCCATTCTTGATCATCTCCTAGATGGGACTTGGGGTATTTTGTTGGTCTGCAAGTCTCCATTCAAAGTAACCAGTTGATAAAGCATGAGGACCTATAATTCAGGGTTGGCATGGTACATCTACTGATGAAATGCTGGCAGCAATTTTGCTATTTTTCTGTGACACCACAGGTCATCAGAAAAGGGCAAAGAACATGCATATCTGCTCTCGACTCAAGTTATTGACAGTTGCCAAAAAACTTACAGACAGCTACCCTGTGTCCTATTAGCAACCTGTTTACCCTGTAAACAATAATACTTACAGACAGCCACCCTGTGTCCTATTAGCAACCTGTTTACCCTGATACAATAATCACAGTTCTCCTTGTTTTCTTAGTCAATGATATTCCACTTGCGTAAAGTATTGGCAGCAAATAACCTTTCTCACCCTCCGATTGAAATTACCCCCCAGGTTATTCTAAACCTCTTATGCCAATGCAAGAGAAATTGGCTATTATAGGACTCCAAACGTTGGGTTTCTCTATAATAGGACTCCTAACGTTTGTTTCTCTAAAATATGACTCCAAACAATTACAATAAGCTCTAATGACATTTTGTTTCTTTTTTAATCTCTTTTGTCATCTAAAAATACATGTATTTGTTCATAATGTGACCGTTTTACCCTTCAGTGTTTTGACAGTGATTGTTGTGTCGTTTTGAAAAAAAAAAAGGTCACTGCTAGCTGCTTGCTTCCCACGGCCCTTGGCCTTGGCTGGGCCGCTGCCTTGGCTGGCTGGCCGCAGGTGCCTTGGCTGGCTGGGCGTGGCCATGGCTGGCTGGCCGTGGCTGGCTGGCCACAGCTGCCTTGGCTTGCTGGCCGTGGCAATGGCCGCCATGTACAGTTACAAGTAATATATGTACAGTTCCAAGTAATATATAACAACGTTCCAAGTAATATATAACAAGAATTGATTCATACACAATTACAAGTAATATATAACGGCAAGAATTTAGCAACGAGTTCATCTCATAAAACCATGTTTGTAGCATAAACAAGTTCATCTCAGAAGACCATAATGTAGTTCCAAACGAAATCAATGTCATATGAAATAAATCATGAGGTTACATCTCATCACAACTAAAATGCTCCATCATCAAATGTTTAGCTTTCTCCTTTTTGAGTCATCTTTTTTGGTGGCACCGGGGTAGGCATCCTCACGGGGCTAGCGTTATCAGTTTGTGAAGATGTGCCCTCTCCAAGTAACATCGCTAGCTTGCTGCACATAAATACGATCGGCAATTAGATGTATATATAAAACAATTATTGTGTACAGTAAATGCGTTAATATTCCTTACCTTCTAGTGACCCTTCCTGGACTATCTCGTAGGATTTCATCCCTGGTTGGCCTCCGTGGGGTGCTAGGTTCCGCCGGTCCTTCTTTTGTGACATTCTTCCTAGATTACCTACGCTTCCTACAAGTGATGAAATAAATTAATATTGATATTTTCATTCAAGTTAGTTATAAAGAAAATCATCAATTACCCCTTTTTTGCGGTCCCATTGTATGGACACTTGGAACTAGCTTGCGTGTGACATTTTTCTCCGCATCATTTGCAAGTCATAGGTCCTCTGATGATCTTCTGTCCCTTTGCATTTGTTGGAACAGTATCGTTATCACCTTCACCCTCATCCCATAGATTTTTCTTTCTTCCTGTGTCCACCCTCATCCCATCCCTAGATTCTTAGTTTCCTCACTCTTCCAGCAGATAATTTAGCCAGAGGTGCACCAACGTCAAATGGTAGGTCAACATGTGGCCACTGTGTTTTATCTGTCATTGGCTCAATCTCTCTACCATAAGCAGCCCTAAATCTATTCACAGAGTAGTAGTCATGCACAAATTGTTCTAGATCCACTCCCCTTTGGTGGGTTGCATAGGCCAGTACATGTTGACATGGCTTACCAGTGTGCTGCCATTCAAGACAAGTACATGTTCTTTGGCCTAGCTTGACAATATGCCTCACAGAAACGGCTCTGCTATGGTCCCACACCTCTGCACTCCAGTTAGAACATAGTACAATTTTTAGGTGTCCCAAACCTCTAGTGTTTGCCCTTAGCTGAACCATAATTGCTGGGAGTATCCTGCCTTCAGGTAGTCTGTACGCAATAATTCTTCTCTTGTTCCACAATACCATGATCATTTCTCTGATCTTATCAGCAAGGTCAGCAATCGGTAAGTCCTTATGGTCTCTAATCCAGTTATTAAATGTCTCAGCAATGTTACTAGTTATATAGTCACACTTAATTTCTAGATTGAAACCACACCTGTACCATAATAGCTTATGATTGGCTTGTAACCATTGCACTGATGCAGCTGATTCACTTATCATTTTTGCTATATTGTCATAGAAAATCTCCTCTGTGTAAGCCCTTGCAGCAGGATATATCTGGCCAAACCCTCTAAATCTCTTCTTGAAGTTTCTGACCATATGATAAAAGCATTTCCTTTGCTCTGCATTGGGGAATACATTCCTCACTGCATTCTCCGAGCCCTTACAAGCATCCGAACAAACAGCATGGACTGGAAGATCACCTATAGCTTTCTTTAATTGTTCTATGAACCAAGTCCAGTTATCTGTTGTTTCCTGAGCTATGAAGCCATAAGCGACTGGATACATCCAATTGTGACCATCAACTGCTACTGCTGCAGCCAAATGACCATTCCACCTCCCATTAAGTGCTGTAGCATCTACGCTCAAATGAGGCCTACAACCTTCCAGCAATTCATCAATGCATGGTTTCAGGGCACAGAAAAAACGGTGGAAATATACCTCACCATCTACCTCAAGAACATCGATCTCAACGACACTCCCACGACTCCGCTTCATCACCTCGGCCTTCCACCTAAACAATAGCTCAAAGCTATTTGACCATTTCCCATAAATCTCTTCAAGAGCTCTTTTTTTACCCCGCTGTACAGTGTCATATCCAATTATACACCTATGTATTGGGTTTGTCTCCAACCTCATTTTCAGTTCCTTGGTACCAATGTTTGGTTCAATTCTAAGGATATCCACAGTCCTGCGAGCTACCCACTTGCAACTTGGAGTTGTAACCTGCATCCTCTCACTAGACACACATTCATGTTTATCAACTAACACGGTTACCTACAAAAACAAAAACAAAAAATTAAATTACATAACAAGATGAATGATTGAATTAAGTGATACAAAAAAATATTTTACCTCCACAGTAGCGCTGCCATCCAGTTTCGACCCATTTATCCTCCAAGGGCAAGGGCCCGTCGATTCATCACCAGACTTACAAAAACCCCTATATTTCTTCGTAGTTGACTTCTCTACTCCTAAATGGAACTCCTTCTTGATGGCATATGTCCGCACTGCCAGTTTGAACTCTTCCATTGTTGGGTACTGTGTCCCAACCTCCATTGATGGGTTGTTCTTATCATATGAAATGACGATCTCACCCGGTACGGCATCATTAGTAGGAATGGCAGCACCATCAACATCTTGACCAAGCTCATTATCATTGCCTTCTTCATCCATTCGACGATCAGATGCTTGTGTAGGTATATTTGGTGTGCCCTCATCTCCCAATCCCAATAGCTCACACATCTGACTCTCGCTCATAAGTTCAATTCGACCTTCATCATCAACTGTCTCAACTATCTGTATGGTAGACCAATCAACTCTTTCTGTATTTTCGACATCATTTACTTGGGACCTACAAAAAAGCGAAAACTAGTTTACTATACTAGTAACATTGATACTAATAAATACATTGACATTTTATACTACAAACTTACTATATATGATAGGATGATGATTGATGTTTTACACAACTGTACTAGTGGCTGCATGGTTGATATATGATCTGCCTTACGTTCTATATATGTTTTATGCCTTCTTAATTGATTAGTTACAATACTGAACAATAGTTATGAGCGATATATGATAGTTGTCTCAGCTAGGCTGCATGGTTACTGAACAATACTGAACAATTGTTACAGCTAGGCTGCATGGTCTAGTACTATATCATTTACTACATATGACAGTTTACTGAACTTTCCATGCCTCGAGCAAACTGAATGGATGAACAAGGCAAACTGAATGTACGATCAAACTGAAAGGATCCTTAATGGCAAAAAAACAGAAATCGTTAGGGGCAATACCTCTGCACATCAAGCATCGGAAGATTGTACTCTGTTATCAGATGAGGAACAGTGGGCAGCAGAGCTCTTGCTACAGCTAGAGCATCGTAGCCAGGGTTCTCCATTGGAGGCTGTGGAAGTTCATCGGCTGCACCAGCTGCCGTGGCCTGCCCTCCAGGAGCCGCGTCCGGCTATGCACCAGGCGCCGCAGCGGCCAGGGCAGCAGGCCCCGAAGCGCCTAGGGCTAGGGCAGCAGGCCCCGACGTTGCCTCGACGTCCATGGCAACCGCCCCAGCGTGGACATCTTCGACTGGAGGCTCTTCCTCCATGGAGGGCAGATCGCCGGCGTGGGGGAGGGAGAGGGCCGGCGGTCTTCACGGCGAAGCGGTGGGCGCCGGTGTTCTCGCGCAGGAAGGAGGAGCGTCAGTGTTCTCGCGACTGCGCGTATACGGAGTAGATGAAACGACGGAATCCAGAATAGATGAATCGATACATTGCTAGCCAATTTCTCTTGCTGAAGGGTAATAGGGTCAATACGAAAAATACATGTATTTTTAGATGACAAAAGAGATTAAAAAAGAAAAAAAATGTCATTATAGCTTATTGTAATTGTTTGGAGTCCTATTTTGGAGAAATAAGTACTATTATAGAGAAACTCGACGTTTGGAGTCCTATAATAGCTAATTTCTCGCCAATGCACCGAGAAATGCATCCATCAGTCAGCCCATTGCACACTTGCTCTTCCATTAAGCAAAATCAAAATAACCACGAACGCTCTTTTCAGAAAAGAAGGCTATCAAATGCGAGGGGAAGGGGATAGAAGTATCACCTGGCGTCGGCCTTGCCGAGAACTTCGTATGGGTAGTGCCGTCTGTGCTGCTGCCTCCACCGAAACCTACCAGAGACACGCACGACCAAATCAGGGAAACAGAGCAGAGAATAGATAGGGACCAAATGGGCGAGAAGAGCGGGCGTGGCGTACGAGAACTCCTGGAACATCACCGACGCCACGAGCTTCCCGTCGCCCACTTCTTTCGCCGCCTAGGTGGCAGAGGAGCTGAAGCCTCGCGCCCGCCAGAGCGACCGGAGGAGAAGACTCGCCATCGCCGGCGATCAGGAGTGGGGGGCGGACCGGCAGGGGGCCGGGCTCGGTGGTCGCGCCGCAACGGTTTGTTTGTGGGAGTGGAATGGAGCGGTTAGGCCGTGTTTGGCTCGGCTCTCCGGGGCTCCGGCTCCTCATGCAGCGACTGTGCAACCGTGTAGATCACTGCGGCTAAAAATAGCTCCGGCTCCCGTACAAATGAACGTGGATGAGCTGCCGGAGCTAGGCTTGTGGTGCTCCGCCGGCTCCGCCACAGTACCCGCACAGTGCAGAGCCGGAGCCGGCGCGAGCTCCACCAAACGCGCCTAGTTCCGTCCACGGGCGAGCGGGATGTTGGGCCAGGAAGCAGCGCGCTAAGCTCGCCTGGTGGGCTGTCTAGTTATTTGGCCCATATTAGTGCGTTATTTAGCTTAGCTGTTTAGCAGCATGAGGGAGAGGAGATGGATAGGCCCACGAATATTTTACATATAGATAAAAAAATACATATCTATACAAATTGAATGGTGAATCTACTAACTATATTTATTGACAGACGGCATTCTTTTGTACACTTAATAATAATTAGATATTTAAATGATACATTCAAAAATATAATGTGGAACATTTCAAAATTCTGGATGTCTTAGATCCAGATTTGATACTGGACACGAGTTGTTCTAACTCTACAAGTGCGGATAATGAATCCGGACCATGTACGGGATATGGAGGGCACGAGGGCAGGCAGCGACATTCGAAGTAATGAGCAAATCTTTCTCCTAACCTTATCCAGGATCTTATCCCATTCCATTCAAACACGCATGAGTTTAGATTCATCACATAACCTATATGTAAATTTGAGTGTGTTATTGTTGTTGAAGAGGATGCGTGCCCTGACTGTGCGCAACCGATCCATTTCCAGAGATGCACCGTTCCTCTTGATTTGGGCTCATTGTTGTACCAGTGCCGAGGGGCCCGTCCATCGGGCTTTGGGCTCTAGGTTTCCGCTGTGATGTTCTTACAGTTGCAGCCCGATTTGCTGCTGCTGGGCCGGCGTCCGTGTGTCTTTGGCGAATTTCTTTTGTTTGGGATTTGGCAGCAAATCGATGTACTGATGCTCTTTCTTTTTTTTAAAGATCCTGCGCTGACGTGATGGTTATTCGTTAACCACTCATCACAAACAGTAAAAGTGCTCAACTGTGAAATAATAAAGTTACAAATGGTTTGATGGTAGGTCTAGTTCAGCTCCAGGCTAAGGTAAGTACGTACGCCCGTGCTGCCTCGTGCCGTACCCACACGCACGACGGCACGAGCTACAAGCGCCGCCCGTGCGTGTCTGCTACCGAATTCAGAGGGTAGGGCGCCGCCGGCGGCGGCGGCGGATCGATCAGATACTCTCGCATGCATGCATGATGCTTGATGCATGCGGCCATGGAGGGAAGGGAAAAAGAAGCGATCGAGAGCGACGCGAGTGTGCACGAGTATAACGAGCGACACTAACGCGTTTGTCCACTGCAAATCGACATCGTCCAAAAGGGTACATGCATCGATGCAATATATATAATATTTTGGTCATGATCGACTATATACTTAAAGCCATTTTATTTGTTTATTGTTATTATTATTTATTTATTCATGACGAGCCTGTCTAAACAAACAAACGAAAGGCGTGCAGACATGAAACACCCCCAAAATTCAAATACCTAGCGTCACTTTTCTGCTTGTTTTGTTCCGATGAACTGGACGGTAGCCAGTGGAACCTCTCAGCCGGCTCTCCACTCTCCGTCCAGCACCCGGACAAACGACCATGTCCTTTTCAGTTCATCTATCGTGGTTCAGTGGAGATTCGAGGTTCCAGAACGAACTGTGCGTTATGTGTGTTTTGTACTCTTTCTGTTTTAAATATTTGTCTTTTTCTTTTTATACCGTAAGTTTAACTAAATTTATAAAAAAAATGCATTCAGCATTTGTATCTCCAAATAAATTTAATATAAAAATAGATTTAATAATTTATCTAATAATATTAATTATGTACCATAAATATTAATATTTTTTTATATAAAATTAGTCAAAGCTATCTCTCGGAAAGAAAAAATTATAATTAAAAAGGAACGGAGGGAGTAATTGTAACAGCTCTAGTCGAATGGTTTGGCAAGGGAGAAGAGAGGACGGAAAGTCTCCGTCCGGTCCTAGATGACAAGATTCGCAAGGACGGTGTGGAAAATGAGCGGACAAACGTTGGAGCGCTACGTTTCTGCAAAACACCAAACCATGTTGTTGTCGATTCTTGAACCCAACATTCACGAGCAGCTGAAAATATCCTGTTACGCATAAACCAAAGAAAACAAATGGTTGGATATTCTTTTACATGGAACAAATTTGATTTGAGGACAACTCAACTCATTGCTTGGTGGTGGTTGTTTAGCGACGTGTTTGGATCACATCTGGGTTATAATAATCAGGGCAATAATAATCTCTCGGGTATCAAAAAAGAGAAGCTTAGTTACGAGTTGGACTGTGAAAAAGTAACCAAAATTTATTGTTGTCCTATAATCCATCTTAAATAAACATACTAATACAACACATTATTGCAGATGCTGAGAAGACCAAATCTTATGAGTTATAATCCGACGCATGTAGTATAGAGATCCAAATAATCTAGATCGTTATAAATCATATTGTGGATTAATATAACACATTCGCAATCATCCAACGGTGATCCAAGCAATTCCTAATAAGGGCTTGTTCGGTTTCTATTCCTAGGACGATTCTCGGTTGGAATGATTATCTAATTTGTGTAACAATTGATCAGTCGGATGGATTCCCATCCTCGTTCCAAAATAACCTAATGAGCCCTAGATCCGTAGCATGGTCTGGTGAATTGGCACATTATGGATATGATAGCAGACATGTATGCTTGTGATTGAAAGAACTTTTAGAAACAATAATTGTCTTCTTGTGATCACCCGGTTACTTGAATGGTTCTTCAACTTGTCCTATCAACCTCTGCTTTATCATGTGCCCATTTCCTGCTTTGCCACGACGACTGTAGCCGAGCCCCTTGATTTATCAGTCCCATCACATCGTGTATATTTGGCGAAGCAGAGAGGGACAAAGTAAGTGAAGCAAAACCCAAATTTGTGGTCACGATATGCATCATCTTTTTAAATGATGACTACTGCCGTTACTTCTCCCTAATAATTGTTATTAAAGACATCCGTGGTTGTCTTTTCACGAAAACAAAAGCATAAAAGTTCCTTTCAAAAAAAAACATAAAAGTTCACCTTAACGTGTGTTTGCTCTGTGATTTTGTAATCTGCGCTACAAGGTATCTTGTAGCGGCGGCGTGTTGTATTTTGCAACTTTTTCTCTTAATGGAACACGCGTCTTGTCTCTCGCACTTGGCGTTTTGTAGCGGCAGCGTGTTCTCGGAAAAAAACGTGTTTATTGCCGTACTTAACCCATGGCCATCTCATCATCACTTTCGACACGAAATCGTTGAGAACTATTTTCATGGAATAAGTAACTACCATGAATTTATGACACTTATTAAAAAGTAAATATCCAATATTATATATAATTTTGTATAAGTTTAGGAGAAAGATTTAAAAAATTACTACACCCACACGTTGTATGCTTATGTATAGACACCTGTATATGTAATACTCTCTTCGTTCTTTTTTAATTATCGTTCTCACTTTCCAAAAAATTAAATATATTCAATTTTAACTAAATATATAAAAATATTAATATTTATAGTACATAATATTAGTGTAATTCAATAGTTTAAGATATAAATATTATTAGTTTTTTTTATAAATCTAATCAAACTTTTTAAAAAAAAACGACCGTAATGAGACTTAAGAGCATCTCTAGCATTAGGAGAAAAATCTCAACCCAAAACTAGTTATTGGGGGACTATTATTTTGTTTTGAGAGTTTTTAAAAGGCTTCATCTCCAATAGAACGAAAAAATCTCACTCCCAATATCTCCTCTGACATGTGGGGTCAATTTGTCATTCACACTCTTTCTTCTATTTTTTCTCTCCCCACATGTTTGTTGCCCGCAACCTTCGACTCTCCGATCGCCGCATCGTCTTCCGCCGCCGCTCCTCTTCCTCCGCCGTCTCCTCCGTCGCTACTCCCTCCCTTTCGTACGCCCTCCTCCCATACCACTCCTCCTTGGCCACCTCTCCTCCACCGCCGTCACCTCGTTTGTTGGGCGCGTTGCCAAGCTGCGCAACATCTTCTCCCTCCGTCGTCCTCCTACTTCGAGACCGCAGGTGACTTGGAAGACACCAGGTGCATGCTACCGCTCGTATTGGGGGCGAGTCTAAGTCCCTCATCTTTGAGGGGTTGGGGCTAGATTTGGAGCGTCCGAGAAAAAAATTTGCTCATTGGGTACTGCTAGAGCTCTCAAATATGTCAAATTACAGTTTTTTCCCGTTCGGGTGGCAACTGGGGAACTTTTTTTTAGCATAAATGGGGAACTGTTCGAGGTGCTCTAAAAACGGACGGATCGAGAAGTTTCCTAGTGCCGCCCGCGAATACAGTCCCACCGAATTATTTCCGCTGCCACTGGACAGTGGGGCACACCTCCCCCAAGCGAACTACCCGTGCACACCACGGCGCGCCCGCGGCGGTCGCCCCTCTTGAGTGCCGTGTGCCGTGTGCCGTGTGCCTGCAAGTGCCTTGTCTCTCGCACTTGGCGTTTGAATCGTTCCACTTTCCAGTCTCCAGTCTCCAGTCTCCAGTCTCCGGCTCTCCCCTGCTTCTCTCCTTCGTTCACTTCTCCTCCTTCCGATTTCTTAACTCCCCGAGCCCCCCAAAATCACGCACCCAGAGAGTGGAGAGGCCGCGCCGATGGGGTGCGCGCAGGGCAAGTGCTGCCTGCCGCGGCACCCGAGGAGGGGCTCCTCCTCCGCCGTCGGCGGCGGCGCCACGCTCGGCCGCGCCGCGGTGCCCGGGGCCGGGCTGGTGCTGGAGTACGCCGCGCTGGCCGTGGCGGGGCTGTACCCGGACTCCCCGGCCCGGGAGTCCCAGGACGCGCACCTCGTCGCCACGCGCTTCGCGGGGGACCCGGACCTCCACCTCTTCGCTGTCTTCGACGGCCACGGCGCCGCCGGCGCCGCCTGCGCCGGGTTCGCGCGGGACGCGCTCCCGCGCCTCCTCCTCGCGTCGCCCTCCCTCGCCGCCGCCGGCGCCGCCGACCCCGCCGCCGCGTTCCGCGAGGCCATGCTGGGCGCCAACGCCGAGATGCACGCCGCGCCCGGGGTCGACGACTCCACGAGCGGCACCACCGCCGTGGCCGCCCTCGTCGCCGGCGGCGCGCTCCACGTCGCCAACGTCGGCGACTCGCGCGCCGTAGCCGGGGTCCGGCGCGCCGGCCGCGTCGTCGCCGAGGACCTCTCCTGGGACCAGACCCCCTTCTCTCGCGCCGACGAGCGCGCGCGAGTTCTTAACTGCCCGCGCCCCCCAAAATCACGTCCGTCGAGCAGGTGGAGGGCATGCGCGACCCGGAGGCCGAGGGCTGGGCGCCCGACGAGGGGGGCTCCACCCCGCGTCTGGGCGCGCGACGCCTCTACCCGGCACCGCCGCCTTCACCCGCAGCCTGCGGGGACCTCGCCGCCTGGCCGTCGCGGGGCGTCGCCGAGCCGGAGGTCAAGAGCGTCGAGATCACTCCATCGCACCTTTTCTTCGTTGTCGCCAGCGATGGCGTCTTCGAGTTCCTCTCCAGCCAGGAAGTTGTTGACAGGGTACCAGCTTCATTCTCTGCTCTACTTTCCTTTTCCTGCTTGTTTGCCTTTTTTTTTTTGACCCACTTCAATTAATTCCAGTCTGCATATCGTGGTCTACGGAATAGACAGGTAGTAGACTAGTGTGAACCTTAGGCTGTGTTTTTTTCAAAAAGATTCTCAAAAAGTGCTACAGTAGTCATCTTATCGAATCTTACAAGCATGGAGCATTAAATGTAAACGAAAAAAAACTAATTATACAGTTTAGTTGGGTCATGCGCCAAACGTTTTCGAGTCTAATTACCTCTCCTGATTGAACACTAATTACCAAATAAAACGCCGACGCTACGCGCGCGAGCCAAATTCAAATTTCACGAACTAAACACAGCCTTATAACGTGGTGTGTGGGAGAGTTAGCTGCTACATTCTACCTGGATTACTTCCAAGGACTATAGTAATCACACGTGGTGTGTGGGAGAGTTAGCTGCTACATTCTACCTGGATTACTTCCAAGGACTATAGTAATCACACGTGTTTGTTCATTTCATCCAACCAACTATAGCAAGGGCTTGTTTAGCCGCCGAAATTTTCAAAATGAGTCGTCGCCGAGTTGGAGGTCAAATAGCGTTCGATCATATCAATTAGGCTTCGCACCTTTTCTTCGTTGTCGCCAAACTGCGATTAGTTTTATTTTTATTTATATTTAATGTTTCATGCATGCGTCCAAAGATTCGATGTTGACGGGACAATGTAAAAGCTTTGCAAATTTTTTGCAAACTGAACTGGACCTGTATAGTTTGCCTTTTTTTATTGATGTGAAAGGAATCACTGTATAATCGAGAGGTACTCCTATGAAACTTAGCTGATTGCCCAGAATGAAAGGAGTAGAACCTTTATGTATGGATAATCATAAGTGCTTGTTTAGTTTCACAAATTTTTGTTCATTTTTCAAGATTCCCTACATAGCCTTTGGTATATGCATTTAGCATTAAATATAAATAAAAAAAAACTAATTACAATCGAGAGGTAATTCACAAGATGAAATCTTTTAAGCTGATTGACCAGAATGAACTAATTGCCAAATAACAACGAAAGTGCTACAGTACCATTTCCCAAAAAAAATCGCCAACTAAACAAGGCCTAAGTTGACTTTCTGCATAGTGCGAAATGATTTCAGATGAATTTTGTGTGTGCTATTAGGAATAGGATAAAGATGATGTTCAGTGGTCGCTAATGACTTGATGGTTTACCTACACGTACAGTATATAGTGCCCAACTTTAGCTTGCTGCAAACAGAAATAGTACAAAAGGACCTCCCATTTTGACTTTAACTCTTCTTCTTTTTCTTCCTTGCATTGCATACTATAAAGTACTCCATCAGTCAAGTTGCTTTTCTCAGAAAGTTGAAACTGCAGGATGGTGTAATGATTATGGAATAGTGAGGGTTCCGAGGTCGATCGTTGTTGTCATTATGAAAGCTCGCTTGCTCTCCCTCCCTCTCTCATTCTCTCTGTGAATAAAGTTCTGCCTAAGTGGAGGTAACTTTATGTAGTAGAATAATAGAGTAGCATTTGAGCTGTGATGGAAAAATTGACTAATCCGAAGTGTGAAGAAAAGTTGAAGGACAAGCTAGGTAGTAAATGGCTGCAAGGACAAAGTAAACTTTCCTAAAGTACTGCTGATAAAAAGGAATGCTGGCCATCTTGTTGGTCTCAAAACTGACATGATTTTAGATTGGAGTATTGGACTGTTGATTTCTGAATTACTAGGGTCGTACCTGCATTTTGTCAAATCTTTTTATTAGGCCCAAACATGATCTGTAGTTAACAATGGATGGTCCCCTCTTCATAACCTCCTACTTTTCCACCCAACATTTCACACAGTTTTGAAACAATGTATACTTATATAATGAAACCAGGCTGCTAACAGTTGTTTTCTGTTCTCATGCCTTTTGTTGTATATATTATTCTGTCCTTTGGTATGAGTCTATTATTTATACCATTCTTGGAGCAATAAAAAAATTCCTTATTTTACCACTATTGCTGGAACTTTTCAGTAATGAACCAATGATAATATGTGGTTTTTCTTGCTTGGCTTTGTCTGTGTCACTAATTCTAAGCTCTTTCTCGTTTCCTACAGGTTGCTACATATCAAGATCCAAGAGATGCCTGTTCAGCAATTGCTGCAGAGTCATACAAACTATGGCTGGAGCATGAAAACAGGACAGATGATATAACAATAATCATTGTGCATATCCGAGACATGGAAAATGTAGGTGCACCAAAATTTTAAATTCTGCAAGCATAAAGAGAGTAACTTATTCAGTGACTTGCAGAAAATTTATTGTTCTTTCCAAAATTTACTCAGTCAGGTCCTGCAGGGAGTGACAAAGCGGACTATGGTAGTGTCGGAGAATCAATAGCTGTGCACACAATACAGTCAGAGATACCTGTATTTGTACAATCAGAAGCAAGTCACATGAACAGATCTGCTGCTACCGGAATGCAATCACCGTCTTCTGGCTCTCCAACAGAACAAAGCCTCTCATGTGTTGCTCCTTCTCCTACGCACCCTTTGCTGATACATGGTAGAATATCAGATGCTTCCAAGCCTGTGCAAAGTGAGCAGCGAGCTGCATCACAACCGGTACAAACTTGGCATCAAATGGACGGGGGTACTGAGCTGGAGTGGTCTATACAGCAAAGCATCCCTCCAGCCTCCTGCTGAAAGTGGAGGTAAATCCACCAATCTTCTAAATCCTTTCCGATGAAGGAGAAATTGCAAACAATCTCACATAAGTTTGCTCATTCTATTGCAGTATGTAAGTTGAATTTTGACAAAAAGAGGCCTCGCAATAACCCACCACCGTCCTCCGTAAGATCTTGCCTAGAGACCCTAATCTTTTCTCTCAGATTTTTTGGAGGAACCATTATTGAGAGGCTGCTGTCTTTTGCAGGGAGCTACTAACCGTACCATGCATGTGATGTTTGCCAGCAGCAAATCTCGTGTTGTTGCTCGTGTTTTGGTAGAGCACCTGCTGCTGCCGACGATGCAAGGTTTCTGATCCTGTGTGGTGTGGGATCATCTAACCATGGGCTGATTGGTTGGTGATGGGCGCCACCAGAAGTGCTGTCCGTGGAATGGAGTTATTCTCCGTTCATTTGTACTTGTTAACTTTCACAAGATATAAATTAATTTAAGTTGATGCTTCTCGTGGTATGACTTGAGACGCAACCGTGCAATGCCATCCTGCCACAGAATTAGGATCTGGAATTGAAATGCCAGTGCCGTGCAGAACATATCAGCTGGGTGCCTTTAAGATGCAAAAACGAATATGGGTCGCTGGTTTTTTTGGGGGGCTGCTTTAGTGCACTCGTTGAGTTGATTATGAAAAAAAAAACGTTGCTTGTTGATGGAAACACGTTATTAACTTTATTCCGTTCTCATGCAATTTTTGGGCTGCCACGAGGTAATCATGGTAGGGAATCATCTGAAATTTGAATTTGGACAGACTGGTGTTCTTATTTACCTCAACCGTACGGCCGGAAACCTCTAAAAGTGTGCTACGCAGATACGATACCATCAGCGTGGGCTGGATCCAGACGTACGTGAGTGGTTTTATATCCAAGTACTCAAGAAACAATCACCAAGCTGACTTCTGCCGTAGCATGCAGCATGATTCGAAGGAAAAAAAATGATGATTTTGCTTCTATATTTCATTCCTGCCAAAAAGAATGCCGTAACTTGGCAGTATGAGTTTTTTCTTCCACAAAATCTAATTTTACAAGTCACAACAAATGTGGAAGGATGGTGTAATGTAACCCTTCGAGCCTTCTACGGGGTTCAAAAGTATATGGAAAGTGTCTCATCGATCCTCTCCTGCAGCTTGGTGCACTGCTCCAGTAGCCGGGCAAGCTTGTCGTCCCTCTCGAGTGGCACAAGCTCACCCAATTCCACTCTTCTTGGTATGTACATTTCATCAACTCCATGCACCCCGTTTGCGACGCAGTTGGTGTCAGTAGGTGCCTGAGGTTCTTCATGGACCTGTGCAGGCAGTCGTGGTGGTAGAGTTACGGGCTGCGCATCAACAGCATCGAGATCGCAACTGATCTCGATGATTTCATCTAGTGTGATGCCGGTTGAAACAGCAGGCATCATGATGTGATCCTCCAAAATGGCCACATCATCGCTGGTGGTGTTGTTAGCAGTAAGCCCTTGTGTGGTACCATTAGGGCCAGCTGCTGTAGGAGCCTGATAGAGGTGCTGAGTCAGAACATAAGCTTCTGAGAACTCTCCGGTAGAAAGCTTTGCTAGCCTCCAGTTGTAAATACGCCGGAAGATAGCCACCCATCTGGGAGCAAGATAGTAAGACGAATCCCGGAGTTCAAGGCCAACACATTTCTGCACCATAATATTCACTTCGGTGACCACCTGGGTTTCATCTAACAACCGGACTGATTCAGTCAAATATCTCGCCAAGCACTCCTGAAGCAACTTCTTCTGATCTTGGATCTGCTTGCCCATGTGAGAACCATGGTTTAGCCAGGATAGATCGTAACTGAACTCTAGAATCTTGCAACTATTAATGGCTGCAAGCAGTGGTTGGATCCTTGATGGCGAAGACCATCCAATGCTAGGCAAGAACATTTCTGCATATATCCTCTCATTGCTTGTTCTCTCCAGAAGATCAATCTCAGGAGCTGGCCATTGGCTAGAGTTTGCGCATGCCGCAGCCAAAATCTCTTCTGCAAGTTGATTGACAGCATTGTTGAATACTGAAATGCAATCCCCAGGGCCAGCTCCAGGTGCAACATGGGTGTTAAGCAGCTCAAGTTGTGGATTCAAGTAGTCCAGAAGCAACTCATGGGTCTTCACAAGAGTGACATCGGGCCGCCTTGGCAAACTACTTATCAGCCACTTCAGGCCCTCACGCAGTTTTTCATCATCAAAGAAACCATTGGCATGGTCTTCTGTGTAGTTTTCAACAAGAAAAATAACCAAAGACGAACCGATCTTTCCTCCATTAAGACCACTGAGGCCAAGCCTGTCCATGATATACTTTGACGCGTAGTCATATCCTTCGTTATATGTATCGCCACTCAAAATCAGAAGAGGAAGATTGGATTCATCTGGTATGTAGGCTAAAAGATTGTTAAACCGCTCCTTCTGCATTTCCCATGAATTGCTTTCAGACACTACAAATACTATACAACTCGTACTGTTAGCAATATCATTATCAATAATTTGTTGATCACTGGTTCTAACAACAGACAAACAGCATGTGTTTGGAAAACTGATCCACTCTGTCCAAATTGATAGGCCTGCTGAAGAAATAACCAATCCACTATCTCCAATTCCATAACCCATGAGCTTTCTAAGTAACCATTTTGAGGCAAAACTGTTGGTCTGGGATTCCATAGCACCTGGTGGGACAAGTACAAGCAACTTCCAGCAGAGGCATCTAGCATCAGGGTTATTTTCATTTAGAATGGGACCAGACAACTCGGAAACATTTAGCCATGACCAGGACCTTTGCTTTCTTGCTTGTCTTTCTTTAAAGGCATGGCCAATATCTAGTTCTTCAACTGCTAGCTTAGGCACCTTCATAGTACACAAGACTCAATCATTATCGCATCTTAACAATACTAGAAAAAAATACTAAAACATCATTTCACACTGAAATTTCACCAAAGTTCAATGATTTATCAATTAATAGGGGTACACAGTTTCATCCAATAAAATCTTTATCTTGCAAAAGCAATGCCTCCATTTACTGATACTGGAAAAAAAACTGTCTTACCATTGTACTTTTATGAACTGGTGGGCCAAGTGATAGAGAACACAACGCTGCAACAGCAAGAGCATTCTTCTGCTCCCTAAGTAATCGCTTGTCTGCAGCACGCTGCCTCCATTTCCTGAAACACCACAAAAGGAATCAAACTTTTATAAGTTACCACCAAAGTTCTACTGATGGGAGCATAAAAGGATAGGACAAGGACAAATGAACAACCTCAGTATTGCTTTAAGGTTTTCATCAGAAACTAGTTTCTTGGGGGGTGTAACAATTGGTAACCAATCATCATTTGTGCTGTTACTAATAATATGATCCTCATATTCCTCGTGATCAGACAAAGGGGAGCTAATAGGTGATCCAGGTTCAATAACCAGAACTTCACGATCTGGTGGAGTTCCCTCATCCATATCTGTACTGATGCCAGAAACATGCGCCCTGAAGTCATCTTCCGCTCCATACATATTGGAGTAATCTAAAGATTCGCTGTCTGCAAGAGGATGCGAAACAATTGGTTCTGCCAGAGCATTGACGTGTTGCGTGTTAGCTTGTGACCACAGTATGTCTGTTTGCATCTCTACCTTTTGAGGGATCTCAGCAACACCACTATCCTGGTCTTCAGCTATAAGATCATTAGCCAACTTGGTCTTGCCTTCAGTTTTTGGTGAAGCTACTTTTGGTGTTTTTGAGAGTATGTCCCTCTTGCCAGTACGTGGAGAAGCAGCAGTAAGAAAAGATGAAAACCCGTCTTTTCTACCATCAGTTGGGGAGAGAGGCTTTGGATGCGTTGAACTAAATAGTTTATTGGCAGCTTTTGGAGAGAAAGGATCTGAAAACATTAAGCTAATCTGTCTGTCAGGAGTGGTTGAAACAAGCCCAGGAAATGATGGATCCAAATCCCTTCTGCCATCAGGAGGAATCACAAGAGCATTCTGTGGTAGAAATAGATCTCTTTTGCCAGCAACGGGTTGACCAGGATATGGAAAGACAGTCTTTTCTTTGCTAATAGGAGCACAAACTGGCCCAGAAGAAACATCATCAACAACCCTCTGTGATTTTTTCGAATGCACAAGCTGTGAACAACCAGATGGGAAATCGCTTTCACTGTTAAGAAAAGGTCCTTCTTTTACTAGGTACAGTTCTTCATACTGCCTCAATCCAAAACCATGGTATTCTAATAGACTTTCAACATCCTCGTCCTTGAAAGAGAAAATGAAGGCATATAAGGATTTCAACTTCCCAGTTCAGAATTAGTTTCTATCCAAGGAAGAGAACATACTGACCTCCATAGCAAGCCACTCCACAACTTGTGAAATAGGGATGCCTTGGCCATTTTGAAGACCACTGTGCAAGGAAGCAAGTGCTTGCCTCCTTAGCTGGGAAGAGAGTTCATTTGTTAAATTTACAGGAAGTGCACTTGAAATTGAAGAACAGCAGCCTACTACATGAAAGTACAACAAAGTAGTGATTTAGGAGTACTGAAAGACACTGCTATCATAAAATTATCAAATGCCAATAGCCAGATAATGTGTAACAACATGCACTCATTAAGTCACGATGAATTAAGTTCAGAGATTTGAAAGTTAGAGTTTCCAATATGATGGTCGAGACTTTAGTTAATTAGACAGGTTAGGTGGTTTTATGTCCACTTCTTTTAACCTGTGGAGCTTTATCTCTCCCTTTCTGTATCTTTGTGCATGGACCACATTTCTTTATATTAATATAACTTTTACTCTTTCTGTAAAGCTTTCCCATACCGTTATCAAAATGTTTGAAGTATACTAAGCACGCAGTACGATGCCATGCATATGATATATCCATTACAACCGAGAGTTCAGTAACTTTTCCAATCATTGGGGCACTTGATATTTGCCACCCTAGAGCAGTAGTCATTGGCAATGGGCCAAGGTGGCAAAAATCTTTCCACTCAATCAAGTGGGTGGCAGATTGTTATACGACAAACATACAATGGTAGCATGCCACAACTTAAATGAATCAAGTTTATCTTTATGCCACAGTAGATTTTTTGCATTGTGAAAAGAATGCTCACATTCTAAATTCATTATCACAGTTAATTCCATTATATTATAAGAACTGACCTAGCTCAGTTGATTTTGAGGGTGTGGATGTCCCCCAAACCACCCAAGTTCGATTGTGTGCCTATTTCTTCTTAAGAGGATGCTACCTAGTTCCTACTAGGTTGGTCAAGGTTTTTTTTTGTTACCATTACAGTATTTCAAGCACGATTGACGTAGGAAATATATGAGCTTAGGAAGAATAATTTCCACTGAAAGGGTAATTTTGATGAACAGCTTTTAAAGACAATAATTCTACCTTTGCAAAGTGAGCATGCATCAAACAGGCCTGCAAATATGTAGCTTTCCTTGCAAGACGGAAGAAGGAAATAAAGTTCCCCATTCTGCATGCTCTGATTGCATAGAAAATGTAGGCATTAGATGAAAGCTAGTGCAAATATGATAATCACAAATGATGTTTGATGGTATGACTACCTTGCAACTTCTCTTGCAAACAAGATCTCTGGACTGCCTCTAATTTCACGAGACATCTTAGCAAGATCCAGAGATAACTCAGCAGGTTCGACCTAATTCATATGTATGTATGAGTCAGCAAATATCAGAACCCTAAAGACCAGATCCGTTCAATTAGCCTCACCTTGTAACCAGGATGTTTGTCTAACTTAAGCAGTGCATAATAACCCCGAAACTCCTTTTCTGTTGAGAAGAAAACACCTTCTCTCCTATGGTCATCATACATTTGAAATAGCTCAACTGATGTTTTATTCATCTGCTCAATGTTGAGGTGTGCATCAAAACCCTCTGAAAAACCTTCTCCTTTGTTGTGTTCACATAATTCATGCATCGCAATGATGTGGAGCCTTATCTGCTCAACAAAAGACAGCTTCAAGATGAAACATTCCAGGACATAAGGGTGCCCACAGAATAAATACATAGTGATTGATGAAATAAACACTGAACACAGGGATAAATATGAAAGTACCATTTGCTCAAGCATAGAAATAGCCTCTTGATTGAAGAAATGTTGCATTCTAAGATCCATTCTTATTGCTCGCATCCTGTCCCACAAGAAGTTGTATAAGCCCAAGAAACTGTCATCATATGTGTGATCCAGCAAACTAAGAAGGTACTCCATTGTCTTCTGTAGAACTGGCAGAGGCCTTATCAAGTCTGCATCTCTCTCAGCAGTCCTATTATACTGTAACAAACACATAACATATTCCATCACGCTTCTTGTTATTGGTGATTAGAAATAATTCAGATGAAATACTGTCATACTGCCAGCTTACAAGGAAACATTATGTAGTATGTACCTTTTTAACAGCGAGAAGCTGAGTAGTTAGGTTTCTGTCTCCATCTAATCTTTCATACCTATCAAGATCTCCTTTTCTCTCACGCTCTGCCCTCTCAGGTTCTAAAGAAAAACAAGGATATATATGCAAAAGATATATTAGTTCCATATGTTTAGAGGAAGGTATATCGAAAAGGCAATGTGAACGACTAAATAGTATCATGTGAAGTCGATCCAAGGAAACACCTGGGCACATATCAGGGCAAAGCCCAACAATTGCGGCTAAATCTGTGGAATCCATGTCAGCCAAAGTACTCTCATCAGTATCATCGTTTGTTCTCATAGGAGTTTTTCCCACTGATGTGGCTTGTTTGGACTTGTCTGCAGAGCTTTTGAGTGCTTTCACAAAGTCATTAGTATTTTCTACTGGCCTGCTTAATTCAACATGGAAACGAGCCAGACGCTTGGCTTTTGCTTGTTCCTCCCTGCACAAAATGTTTCATGAGTAACAACAACAGGCAACATATGGAATTGAAATGTTGTTGCAAGGAGAGAAAAGTGAAAAGCCATCTACTGGACAATAAGTACCTCTCAAGTTCAGTTGAAGGGGTCAAATGATCATCATCAGTAGCATCCAAAGGAGATATCCCTGTTCTTCTGGTAGCACTAAGTATAGAAGGCTTTGGTGGAGAAATAGCTAATGTGTTAAGTTCATTGGAGTCTGAAAGGCGAGACATCTGTTGTGGTGGTGAACGTGCAGCACCAATGCGTGATTGTATTTGATTTCCGAACTTGGGGAAGGATGCATCAGACCTGTAATAATTGAAAAAAAACTATTAATCTGTATTAATGACCAGCAGGCACAATAAGAGGTCTCACTTTATTTGCTAACTACTACTTCAAGTTAAAATGTTATCACTACCCAAAATCAATATTCTAACCAAAATTAACATGAAACAAAACAAATTCAAAGCAAAACAAGCTTTACTTCTGGACATCAGCATGTGCACGAAGATTCTGGTCTGAGTTGCTGCTGCCAAAATCTACAGGTGATGACCTAATATTGTCTCTAATATCTGATGGTGGTGACTTGACCATGCGTGTGAACTCTGATGCAGGTGATCGCATCCTTTTTGAGGCTTCAACATTTTCATCACTGATGGTATCCGAATAGTCAACCAGTCTGCAAACAGAGCAGGGGGGGAATATTGCTCACATTAGCTGCAAGCCCATAGCAAATCAGTCGTGGCACTAAGTGGATGTGTGGGATGTTCATGCCAGCTTTCATAATACCAAAATATATAGCCTACTTCGTACTTAACATTTCCAGAAAACCATGTGACAAAATTAAGACAGCAAAAAATATTGGTAGAAAATGAAGTAAAAAAAATCAATCTTAAATCTTTCTTAATGGCATTTGGAAAATGTGACACAGCAACAGAAAAACAGAACTAAAATAAAGGTTAATTTCATACAAACTTGAATAAGGGACTAATGGTTCTGAACAAAACAAACCACAGTTCTCATGGTATTCCTTTAACAAGAAATCTTAAGGAAATTAACTATCCATAAATAGAAGAAACATTTACAAAGTATTTTGCCAAGTAACTATGTAAGCATGCTCTTCCTGCTTCAGTTTAATAACAAATCCAACCAGGTGGCAAAACAATTCCAAATGGAAATTTTTTTATTGCTTTCCAACGGCTCCAGAGTTATTTTGCTACAGAACTAGTAGGTGTTTAAACACTTCATAAAGCAAGCTTACTATGCACAAAATGTATAAAATTACACCAGAAGAAACAAACATCTTTAGATACCTTCTAGAATTTCCACCAGTATTAGTATGAGCTTCTGTGCCATCAGCATCCTGATAGGACAAAGTAGGTGACCTTGACCTTTTTGAAATGTTATGATCCAACGATCGATTTTGCATTGAACCACTGAATCTACTAAGAAAGAAGAAGAAAACAAATTACAATAGCATAAACACACATGCAGGCACACAAGCAAATGCAACGAGGCATTTGTGCACACTGAATAAGACGGTTTCGGGCAATGAATTTATATTTAAGTGTATAATGACATGAGAATAACAATTTTGATTCAACGAATAATGACAATGTAAAACTTAGTTTTATCATCCACGATATGCTTAAGTGTATTATAATTCATCAATATTCATTCAAAAAAAGGGAAACATCAACATGGACAAGATGCACTACTTCCCAGGGCAGAACAGTGCCAGTCATATCCAGGAACTAATGGATTACTGTTATAACGAGGAAAATTGGTTGTACATGATGGAATTATAAATTAGGCCCTAATTCTCACAGCAAACAAGATGGTACAGATAGCAAACGACATTTGTACTGAAAGTATAATCAATGGCTAGAGTAATTATAACATTCATTTTCTGGATAGTTTGTAATGACACAATATCCGAAGCTAAAAAGTAACAGTACAAATATGGAGAAAATTGTATGAAAGAACTCACTTATACACGTTAGCACGAGGATCAACAATCTGCACACGATGATGATCTTGGAAGTCTGATGGAGGTCTAAACTTGCTGGCTATGTTTGATGGCGGTGATCTGGCTGAAGTTTGTGACCTCATGTTCTCTGAAGGTCGCATCCTCAATTGCTCTGAAGATTGCAAACTTCCATTTTCAAACAATGGGTCTGCGTAGTTCACCAACCTGTTAATAGAAGAAACGTTAGGTACCGAATTTCTGATGAACAGCAAGTTCCAGGAGAACTTGACAGAACATACATAACAAAGAGAACCTTTTGAGAACTATTCAATTATGTTCACTCATCACATAGCTAATGACTTGAGAGATGCATCAAGAAGTGTTTGTACCTTCTTTGTTCCATACCATTATTGTAACCTGCAGGAGAATCTGCACGCAGATTTGATACAGGTGATAGGGCCCTGTTCCTTGAGGAAATAAGAGAATCCGTGGACCTGCTTACTGATGATATGGCTGGCCTACGAAGAATGCAAGGCATCAAAATTCCATCAACAAGGATGCATGTTGTTTTCATCTTTAAAAAAAGTGCATCTAATATTTATTCCCTCCATAAGTAAATTTATGACGTTTTGGACATTGACACAGTCTCCAATGTGCAACTTTGACCATTACTTTTTATATGAACATAATACTTTAAGCTTATAAAATCAATATTAACATGTTATGAAAGAATTTGTATAAAATTAACTACACCCATAGGATGAATTCATATGGTTTTACTCCAATAGATGGTCAAACTGTCAAAGTTAGAGAAGTGTGACTGCACGCACATATTCTAGACATTTTACAAACAAGGTAGTATTATGCAAAGCACAAGTAATACATGTAATCAGTTAGGTGGTTGATACATGCAGTTTCAGTATGCCGCATTTGTCTACAATGAAACAGAAAATCGTACAGATTTGCAATAATGCCCTAGAACAGGACATATATTGGAGAAACTAGCAGCATTGTCCATGCAACTGTGTGGCTGGCACATGAGTTGTATTTTCAAAAATGCAGTTATAGCAAATATAAAAATACGAGACACGGTACAGATTTTAGTTGTGCGTGTTATACAATACAACCATACTAGCAGCAACAGTGTTATATATCTATATATATTCTTCCTTTTTGAACCAGTGTGGGACTATGTAGTCCTAGAACAACTGAGGCCTGGATTGATCTGCCAACTGTGACACAAGGTATCAATCCATCCAACAAAACAAAAAATTCCATCATAAGTACCGAGCGCAGATATATCATTACTACATTTAGTTATGATCATTAGTCAAGAGAAACTCATGTCAGCGAAATATAGCTCACCACAAGGCAAATTACGTGCTTCAGGGTTTTCCAATACTATGCAAGAGCAAGTGCACAAATCTTAATCACTAGTCAATTAGCTCCAGTACTTAAACGCACAAACACATACATAACATAATCCATCACTGATGAACAGAAGGCCCAAAGCATCACCTCGGCTGGGGCTGAAGATGCCGAGCAACGTGGCGACCGGTGGCAGCGGTCGCACCTGGGTCGAGTGCAGGACGAGAGCTCGGGAAGCGCAGGGAAGCGTCAGTGGTCGGACGTGTGGAGGGTACAGGTATAGGCATGGACTGAGTGGCAGCAGAGCGAGACATTGTATCCGCCGGGGCGAGCTGGGGCCGAGGGCTCGGGAAGCTCGGGGCGGCCGGGCGCACAGAGGGGAAGGACGGGTTGCTGGGGCGAGCTGAGGGGAAGGTCGGGTTGGCGGGGCGAGCGGAGGGGAAGGAAGGGGTAACCGGGCGAGCGGAGGGGAAGGAAGGGGTAACCGGGCGAGCGGAGGGGAAGGATGGGGTCGCAGGGCGAGCAGAGGGGAAGGACGGGATAGCCGGAGATGGGGTGGCGGCACCGACGCCGAAAGCGGGTAAGGCGGAGCCCGGGCCACGGGTGGAGGGCCCGGCTTCGCGGCCGAAGCCGGATGCGGCCATTGACTCCGCCGGGTCGCGGAACACGAAACCCTAGCTGGTGGCGCTAGTTGCCGGCGTGACGGAGAGAAGGGGTTTGAGTTTGAAGTGGGAGATCGGAGAGGTGGGGAAGGGAGACGACAGACGAGCGGCTCGTCGTGCAGGGGTGACTGACATAGTGGGGCCTATCTGTCGCTGGGCAGCCCGAGTAATTAGCATGCGTTTGTTGAATTTTCTTCATTTTTAATATTTTTAAAAAAATTATTTAAAAATAGCTCCACTTATTTTTTTTATCTTCATTTTTAGCTCTTTTGGTGCGCCTAGCGCAACATGATCTGCCACATTAGGAAAACGGTGATTTTCATGTATGAAAACCTTGTTACGCCACTCCTACTGACACGATGTAATATTTTGTCGTGCCAACGGAAACAGCGTAATAAGACTCAACCTTAGACGTTATATTTTTTATGTGATGTCAAATGAAGATATTTTTTATATTTGAAGCTTAGATGAAAAAACAGTTTGAAGCATCGGTATTTCACCGCGCTGTGGGTAGTCTTACGAAGGATCATTTTTGTTACTTGTTTAGGCTGTGTTTAGTTTGTGAATTTTAGGAATTTGGCTACTGTAGCACTTTCGTTTTTATTTGGCAATTAGTGTTCAATCATGGACTAATTAGGCTCAAAACGTTCGTCTCGCAATTTCCAACAAAATTGTGCAATTAGTTTTTTTCCGTCTACATTTAATGCTCCATGCACGTATCGCAAGATTCGATGTGATGACTACTGCAGCACTTTTTGGAAAACTTTTTGAACTAAACAAGCACTTCGTTGAAAGAGTGAAAAAGAATGTGTTGTCACTTGTCAGTTACGGAGTTCAGGCATTAACCCTGACCCACCCCACTTCATCCTAGCAAAACACATGCTAGAACATCTCAACACTGAAGTCCCTTAAACCTATTTTATATAGGATTTAGAAACTACCGTTCAACAGTGCCCTAGACTGTTCCTAGATTTTGCCGCCCAATCGCAGTGGCATCAGCCTGTTCGTTTGGCTGTGGCTTGTCGTAAACGATCGTAAATTTCCAGCCGGAACAATATTTTTCTCTCACACAAACCAGCCAGCAGTATTTCTTCACGAACCAGCAACGATATGAACCAACCAACCGAATAGGCTGATTTCAAGCCAATTTTATGCATGAAAAATCTAGCCACCCACAAGGTACCAATTTGCACCGGCTATTTGTCAAAATTATTATATAGAACACTTAGTTAATAAATCCGTTTGTTTTGTGGTATATGTTATTGTGTAAACTTATGTGTGAGATGAGAGGTTCTACTGTTCTAGCAATAGCAATGATGGATCTCAACATTCATATACATGTCGTTTCATCTTCAAAAGTGGATCCGAATCTGTGATCGAAGGCATATTGGATTTCATTTTAGAACCGACACACGCCCATAATAAGGCACCATGAGAATCTATATAAGAAGACTACAAAATCCAGATGTCCACTTTGGTACATAATCACACTATCATAATATGCTTTCGCCTGTTGAGTGAAGTATGAATAGCAATACTGTTGCATAAATGCAATACAAAAAATTCATTATCCAACCATGCTATCTATCCAATTTCCAAAAGAAAAAAAGGCCCTCTCTTAAAGTGGCATGGACAGCAAGTTAATTAGGAAACTCCAAAAGTAGTAGTGAAGCTTCACTCCAAAGATGTAATTACTCTACTGCGAGCAGCTACAAGCTATAAAAATCTTAGAAGGCCATGGTTGAAATTTTATTATTGACTAAAGCTACATATACCTACATATAAAAAGAGAAATGATCAATAAAATTTCACCTCAGTTCCAGAAAAAACAGAGGCAGTCTTATCACTGTATACAACCACCTTTGAATACCATGATACTTACATGAAATGGGTGACAGTAGTTAAATAACACATAAGAAGAAGCAGCGTAAGTATATAACTATATATAATATCAAGCATGATACTACAAAAGCCTGCGCTTAAGCATGCAAAATTTGAATGTTGTTGGCTTTTATAGTTGCGAAAAAACCAATCTTTCACAGCACTGTTAGTTTGTTAATTGTTACCGTCTTTCCGTTTGTCCAGTAGCCCTAACTTCGAGAACCGAGGGTAGCTCGGGTGGCAAGGCCCAATGGTTGGGACCTTGCCGGCCGAAGTTCGAGCCCTCGTGGCTGCAAATTTTCGGTCTCTCACCGGGGTTTGCCCCCAATAAGTTTTGTTGCCTCTTGCGCATGAAGCCACAAAGGGAATGCGACGCGCCCGTCGCCTACGGTGCCATGATTGGACCCCGTGATCTCACAAAGAACACGATCTGGTGATCTGGGTGTAGTTGTAGGTTTGTTTGTGTACGCGTGGTGTGAGTGTGTGGTATGCGTGTGTGGGGTTGGTGTGTGTGTGTCTGTACATGAACAGATGCTACAACTGTATCCAGATGAGAGGCATAAAAAAAAAGAGTAGCCCTAACTTCCAGCTTTAATGAAGACATACATATTATAGTGTACTAGTGCAGCATGCAACTTCAGAACCAACATCTACTACAATGTTGACTTTGCAAAAACATGACGGTGTGAAATGAGCGACCAGAAAACAGTGACATCCATGGCACACAACCCATCAATGCGAATATTGCCATCGCTTCTACCGGCATGAACCATGAAGTGGCTTGAACACCGCCCATTTCTCTGTGAACTCACCGTTGCCTCTCCATGCCTTGGTGCAAACTTTCAGCTCTCTCCTATCCTGAATGGAAACCACACGCCGTGAGAGCTCGATACTGCCATCACCTGAAACAGGCACACTCCCACCTCCAGAAATCAAGTAGGACGATCTCCTCATCGTCAACACTAGCATAAGAGAAGTGGTAGGAGAGCTCGTTGCAGCTACGAGCAGCAAAGGTAGAGAACCGACCCCAAAAGCCAGCCGTCGGCGGCTAGCAGGATCCGCGAGTGACACGCACAAATATGGTTGCCTCGACAGACCAAGCAATGCATCCAAGCGTCATGTGCAATGTGCTAGGCTTGCTGGTGTAGTCAAATTTCCATAAGCCCGAGTAGCTCGTGTCATGGGGTACCAACGGGTGAGCAAGGAAGCTCAGCTGCTCATCCTCAGAGTCAACAGTAGTGCCCCTCACTCTAAGGTCGACTTCTATGGTCACTGGAGTACAACTCCAGGAAAACAACATGGTTAGGACCTGTAAGTATCCGCTCGTCGGTGAGCGTTTGGCAGTCGTCCCTCGCACGGCTAAAGAGGAGGTTGCGGTTGCTGTTGATGGTGATGGTGTCGCGAATGGCGACTAGATCCAATACATATACTTTTAGGAACGGATGCATTAAGATACACGTTAAATCCGCTTCTGAAGATCCGCGAAGGAAGTACGTGTGTGGTTGAAATTTTTTCCCGGTGTATAGTTTGAATGTGTTTCCCAATTCCACTTTCATTACATGGGACCCATGTTATCTCTTCCGCCAGAGCATCCTTATCTTGAACTCGTCTCTGACTCTTTAATAACTTCTTCTCACTTGCTTCTCTCTCACTTCATCTCCCTTGTTTCTTTCTCCTTGTTCTTCTCGTCAAGGCAGAGGCAGCGGCAACTGCTAGCTTGGCCAAATGCCACAACAACGCGTGCCCCGGCTTGCAGGTAAGGCAGCGACGGTGCGATGATGGTGCGGACGCGGCAACGACAACAACGACCATGGCGTGGCCAGATGCCACAACGAGCGGCCCCAGCTCGTAAACCAAGGCACAATAGCACGGCGCATGACTGGCTGCCTAGCATGGCCTACGCGGCTGCGCAGGACCGATGTGCTGCATTGCGCGACAGGGCCGGCGAGTTGGCCATGCGTGGTGGCTCGACGCTGGCGTGCTGGCCGGCCGCGGCAGTGTGGCCGCCGGCGAGCTTTTTTTAATGCTCACAAATCAATTTTAAAGCTGGTTGCCTAAGCGAAAGATCTTAAATGGCTAGAGAAGGCTGAATAGTCTATAAAATTTTTAAAAAAAAAACACCAGAGCAAGTGATTAGTACACTAAATAGTGAAATAGCGTTTTGCTCTAGCGGTAATCAAATAGACAAGCCATCTATCCACAATTATAGTTGAGTAATGTCTTTAGACACACAAAGGCTAAGTTGCTATTCTCTACAACAAATTTAACTAGCAAGAAGCTAATCAACTATCTAATAAACTAGGCAACTAGCTAAACAAGAGAGCTACTCTAGCAACTACAACTATCACTACACAAGTAAGAATGTAAATACAAGAGAGTGATAGAGTGGTTATATCGAACTGGACAAGTGAAAAATCAATCACAATGAATACCAATTGACACAATGATCTTTCACCGAGGTTCACTTGCTTACCGACAAGCTAGTCCCCGTTGTAACGATTCACCCACTTGTAGGTTCACGCGCTAATATGCATCACACGTCTAACCCGCAATCGGGTGTCACACAACTAACACAAGATGGGGATCCACGAGCCACGAACAATCCACTAGAGTTGTCTTTTGTGATCTCCCACGGGGAAGGCAAAAACCCCCTCACAATCCACCGATCAGAGTCAGAGACAAGCACCACCCTTCGCTCAACGATCCTTGCTACACCAAGGCGTCTAGGTGTCAGCAAACACCAAGAGTAACAAGTGAAATCCACAATGAAACACAATCACCAAGTGCCTCTAAATGCAATCACTCAAAGCAATGCACTTGGATGCTTTCCAACCTCACCAAATGATGAATCAATCAAGCAAGATGAGTTAGAGAGGAATGACTAGGCTCACTAGAATGTAATCTTAATAGAAATGGCCAAAAGAGTGAGCCATGGCCAGCCAACCTCTATTTATAGAGGGCCCCAAACAATAGAGCCGTTGGCTCCCTCACTGAGCAAATTTCGGGGCGACTGAACTCTCTGACCGGACTCTACCCAAAGTCCGGTCAATAGGGTCCGGTCCACGGATGTCGTCCACGTGTCCCTCCTTTGAACGCTACGC